ATCTTCCTGATTGCAGAGGACTGAATCATGCAACAAACTGTGAGGAGCGAGAACAAGGGGATACACAGGACCAGCGCTAAAAATCCTAGAAGTTTTGGATTTCGCCAACGATCACTTGTGTCTAATGTCACACAAACTTGAACATCTACACGCGAAAACTAACAAGTTGACAGAAGAGGTAGGGCAGAGCAGGACAGAACAGGGCAGCGAAGACGGGACTCTTTTCAAGTGAACGTAGGGAAGACAGAGGTGATGAAGATACCTAACCAACACCACCACCACCAACAACAACAACAAGCTCCAATCACCATCAATGGGAGGAACTTGAAGGAAGTAGCCTCTTTCACCCACCCACCTACCAAGGCAGGGCAGCATCGTTTCAACTACATCCAGCACAGACGAGGACGTCAAAGCCAGCCAGGATGGGAAAGACAGCAAGACAGGCCTTGGTGTATTTACCTGAAACCAGTATGGAGATCTTCTGCACTCCACTCAGCATAAAGCGTGCGTGAACAACATCCGGATTTTTTTTGCTTCTGTATGGTTCAGAGACTTGGCACGTTACGAAAAGGGATTTCCAACAAACTACAGACATTCATCAACAACTGCCTACGCTGGCTCGTTACTGAAGATCAAATGAGGTGAGAAAGAATAAGCAACAACGGACTCTGGCTGGCTGACAACGAACCAAGAACCTATCGCTCAACAAATATGCAATGGAAGGAAGTAGAAATGAATTGGGCATACACTGAGGGCATCACGCGCCAGGTCAGGCACTCGAGTGGAACTCAGATGGGAAACGACGAGTTGGGCGTCTCAGTTGAGGGTGACATCGAGGAGATCGTGTGAGGAGGAAATGAGAGGTTTTGGGCTGTCGTGGAGCCAGGTTCGAAAGATTGCAGAGAAGAGAGTGGAATGGAGACGTGCTACTGAAGCTTTATGTTCCACTAGGAACCTGGGAACAAATAATAATAATAATATAAAAATAAGAAGCTGTACATTCGTGAATGTATGTTATAAAGGGTAGAATGTTCCAGAATTGTCTCCGATTAGAAAGCAAAATATATTCAATAACTTAACGAATTTAATCAAAACATATTTAGATTTGGAGTGGTAAAATAGAGAAGGGATTATGAAGCTAAATGTAATCACGTAATACAGGATGAATGTATAGCAAAAGTAGGAAAATGAACGAAGAGTTATGAAAATAAAATTGTGATGAAAATATGAATCCTACAGAATCAAACTCAACCTTCCATTTTTCTTGATCTTCAACTTGAAAGAAAAGATGATAATTCACTTCATAGATTGATCTACAGAACTCCTACATGGAATGAACATCTTATTAAATTTCAAAGTTCAGTCCTCGTATCCAGGAAAAGAAATCTTATTGATTCACTTTACACGACGACCAGGAAAATATGTACTGACGGAGAATTACAAATGCTTCGACGAAATTTAGCCGAAAACGGTTTCCCGCTCAGATTCATTGATAAGAACATGAAGTCAAAGAACCCAAGTGAACGAACACGTTTGGCGTCAAGGAAGATTGTTTTGTTGAATCTTGAATTCTGAAATGATATTGTTGAGGAAACAACTGTTAAGATCCATAAACAGAACATACCTCCCCATCAACCTTTTGGTCAATCTATGAAAGACAATCCTATGCATTAGGTCACAATAATGTATGTATACAAGTTTACTTGCTCTTGTAGAGCTAAGTACATTGGCCGTACGCTGCATCCGCTTGTAAAACGTGCCTGAGAACACTATCCAGTCTGTCTGGCAAAGGGAGAACGGAAATGTATCTTTAGTTTAATAACAGAACACGTTATGAACTCAAGTCAATTAGCTTCTATCGAGAGATCATTCAAACTTCTCTACAGGGTTCGATCAAACCACTCGAAGGGAGTAGGATCATGCCATTTCCCTATAGCTGAAGCATTAGCGGTCTAGGAGTTCAAACTAGCGTTATACGTCCAATCTTTGCTATGGCCATAATAAAGCCTTGATTGTCACAGATTCATTTTGTATTAGGCAACTACACATGTATTTCATTCATCCCTTGTTCATTTTCCTACTGTCTCATAGATTTAACCCACACTACGTAGTTACAATCTTATTTTCATCCTGTTATAGGTTTGTTCGGTATTACATAATCGCAATTTTATTTTCATAACTCTTCGTTCATTTTCCTACTTTGTCATACATTCATCCTGTATTGTGTAATTACATTTAGCTTCATAATCCCTTGTCTATTTTACCACTCTAAACCCAAACATGTATTAATTAACTTCCTTTATCTGTTCACAATATATTTTGCCCCCTAACCAAAAATAATTCTGGAACGTTCTGCTCTATGTAACATGTATTCAGCAATGTATAGCTTAGTAAATGACTTTGTCTTGTCTTTTTCTATAATCAAATGGGTTTATTCTGCTATTACCCTGTTCTTAAATCCTAGCAACGCTTCTATAGAGAACAAGAAATCAACAGCATAGTGAACACTTCATTAAAGCACCTTGTCACTACGAACTGACTGAATGCAGTGAAGCAACTGCTTAGATTCTGCTAACCCTGGTACTTAGTTTATTTACAACACCAACGACTAGTTATACATGTTTCTGTTAATGACTGGTCCATCATACCTCTTCAAGGTTAATTCTGAGAGTATAAGCTATTCGAAGATACGGGGTTACTGCGAATGCTCAAGCTTTAGGAAACGTCAAAGAATGAATACATCAACAACATTGTGACCAACTTTCATCCATTTTATCAAAGGTCTGAAGTTACTAAATCCTATCTTCTTAGGGACCTCAATCACGCAGTCTACATCTCCCAAAACGGTTCAAACTGACTGTATGAACTAGCGACATTTCTTAGTCTGGTCACCCTAAACCCTCTCCAACATAATCCAACTTCTTCTACGTAAGTGGTTCCTCGATATGCACAACATAAATGCATTCCACCTTCGTTGATGGAGATTCATAACTTCATAGACTGAACTGCCTACTACAATTCGCCAAACTTCCACATTGCTAATTTAGTAATTCCTGAAATCTGTGATCAAAACTTGTAACCGCTGCATATCTTCTACCTTTAACGATCATTTCTTACAACTAATTAGGAGAAGTGCAATGCAGTATACTCATCCTTCAGTAGGTTGTCTGACGTCTCAACGGAGAGGACGCAATTTAGCGAATGCCAAACAGGTCTTCTTTATCCATCGTAAGATTTTTTTCAGCAACCAACTTAATTTGGCTGGTGTGACTTCCTGAGCAGGTGAACTGGTTAATGCATTCCACTATGTCACTACCTACCCCTAAGCTAGGGGTTGGATCAGAATAGTCCTGAAGCGTCATCCTACATTTAACAGTTGCGAAACTCATCCCAAACATGTTCGAATTTGCATTTTGTCAGCTTCATCGCCTAACAGGATAATGTCGTCTGCGTACTTTAGGTCGACCCCCTTGGGAGTCATCTCCACCTAAGGTTATGTTCATTAGTATGTCTATCAATAAGTTAAACAGGAACGGTAACAGTGGACATCTCTGGAGGACGCCACTAGTTGTCAGCATTCAAGATGATGAATCTCAGTGTGAACTTACACGGCTGAATGTGTTAGAGCAAAGGAACTTAATTAGTGTTATATACTTGCGACAATACCTCACAGTCGACTGCCGCCTCTAGGTCAAGAAATATGGTCAGAGTCGGCTGCAGGTTTTCCTAACGAGGATTTTAGTCGGTTCGCCCTCATCCCGGTCTGAAACCTGTCTAGTGTGCTATTCTCGAGCTTCAATTAGGCGTCAGGTAACTGTAGACCTTAGGATCTGGGATACAAGCTAGAACCACCATTACTTTACTCGGTAATTTTCCGCTACCATCAACGCAAACTAGATACTGAGCCTCGGGACAGTACTTTATCTCCTTAAAATAGAATGGCGGCTTCTGTACAGCAAGTATGTAAAATTCACTTGTATGAGGGATGTATATTCAGGACATATCTTAAAAGAACCACCTAAGCGATGATCCTCACATTTAGTGTGTGGCTGTCTAAACCGAAATAGGTGGAGGCTACTTCGAACGTGTAGCCTCCTGTATGAAAGTCAGCTATCTAGACCAACAAACCATCGATGAAAATGATATCATAAAAATTGATCACCTGAAACGGATATTCTACGTGTGGATATCAAGAAAACGGGTGACCATGACCTTCCCCTCCCCTCAAATTTCAATGAGAACATCGAGAATCGATTATTAAGAAACAAATTGTACTCATTCACTTTATACACATTCATGCAACAGGCAGTGGTAAGCCACACTTATTGTGTGACGAGCAGTGATACTACTTGGCCTACCAAATCACTTCAGTGAATGGGGCAGGGGGTTCGAACCCATGATCCATTTGGTTGAAAGCTATGAAGCCACAGCTTCCATCCATCAAATGATTGATATTAAGGTTTTATCTATCATATTGATACTCTTCAAAAGTTGATAAGTCTGTGCTTTGAAGTTTCTTTAGCGGTTAGATTTGTTTTACGAGGTAGGGTTGCTAGCCCTATGCCCAACCTTCCCTCTTTAACCGGGCTTAGGACCGGCTAGTAACTAGTGAACTAGTTTACCAGGCGTTACGAAAGGGATTTCCAACAAACTACATTCATCAACAACTGCTTACGCTGACTCGCTACTGAAGATCAGATGGCCAGAAAGAATAAGCAACAAGGAGCTCTGGGAACAAACCAACCAAGAACCTATCACTCAACAAATATGCACTGGGAGGAAGTGGAGATGGATTGGGCATACACTGAGAAGGCCAAATGGGGACATCACGAGTCAGGCCAGGTACTCGAGTGGAATCCCCATGGGAAGCGACGAGTTGGGCGCTAAAGGCGAGGGTGACATGGAGGAGATCGTGCGAGGAGGAAATAAGAGCTTCTGGGCTGTCGTGGAGCCAGGTTCAAAAGATTTCAGAGAACAGAGTTCACTGGAGACGTGCTACTGAAGCCCTATGTTCCACTAGGAACCCAAGGGACTAATAATAATATAATAATAAAAGTTGATAAACCGATAATCAAATCACAAAACTTTCATACTAGTTAACAAGATTAAAGACTCACTGATGTTTGTTGATACAAAAAAAAGGCGCAAGTATTCAATTATATACAAAGTGTTGGCAATAATGACAACAAAAAAAAAGGTTGAATCAGTGTTTCTGAAGTAATTGATGTAATAATTGATCAGGTGGTGGAGCTGTATATATAGGATACTGACTAATCTGTTTCAATGTTTTCTCTAACTGAATATCTGAATCCAATTTTCGTTTATACGGGTGTGATTGTTCATTGAACTTGACAGGTGATACAATATCAACCAGTTGTAATAAACTATTACTATGAAATTGGGAAATTTCACTCTGAAATAATAAAATAAATGGAAGAAGAAAATTATTGAATATATGCCTTTGACAGCGTCGACCGAGAAGTAATTTGAAAACTGCTTCAATACTACGGAGTACTGCAAACCTTTATCAGCCTCATTCAACAACTATATGAAGACGCCACATGCCAAGTAATTCACAATGGGAAGCTCAGTGATGATTTTGAAGTGAAGACAGGAGTGAAACAAGGTTGCCTACTATCCCCCATGATATTCCTGATTGTGGTCGACTGGATCATGCAGCAAACAGTGGGGAGCGAGAAGAGGGGGATACACTGGACTGCGGAAAAGAACCTAGAAGACTTGGATTTCGCCAGTGATGACTTGTGCCTGATGTCACAAAAACTTGAAGATCTGCAGGCAAAAACTAACAAGTTGATAGAAGAGGCAGCTAAGACGGGACTTCAAGTGAATATAGAGAAGACAGAGGTGATGAAGATACTCAACCAACAACAACAACAAACTTCAATCACCATCAACGGGAGAAACTTAAAGAAAGTAACCTCTTTCACCTATCTAGGCAGCACTGTTTCAACTACAGGCGGGACGGACGAGGACGTCAAAGTCAGAATCGGAAAAGCAAGACAGGTGTTCATTAGCCTGAAACCAGTGTGGAGATCTTCTGCACTCAGCATGCGGAACAAGATACGGATGTTCAACACCAACGTCAAGTCAGTGCTTCTGTATGGTTCAAAGACTTGGCGCGTCACGAAAGGCATTTCCAATAAACTACATTCATCAACAACTGCTTACGCTGGCTCGCTACCGAAGATCAGATGGCCAGAAAGAATAAGCAACAAGGAACTCTGGGAACGAATCAACCAAGAACCTATCGCTCAACAAATATGCAGGAGGAAGTGGAGATGGATTGGCCATGCACTGAGAAGGCCGACTGAGGACATCACGCGTCAGGCCAGTTGCTCGAGTGGAATCCCCATGGGAAGCGACGAGTTGGAAGTCCCAAATGAGGGTGACATGGAGGAGGTCGTGCGAGGAGGAAATGAGAGCTTGTGGGCTGTCGTGGAACCAGGTTCAAAAGATCTCAGAGAACAGAGGTCACTGGAGACGTGCTACTGAAGTCCTATGTTCCACTAGGAACCCAAGGGACCAATAATAATAACAATAATATAATAATAATAATATGCCTAATAAATGCTTCCTTACCCTAGATCTCTGGATAAATCTAAATAAGGCAAGCGGAATAAGATTCTGGAGAATAAAATCTGATATATAATTTATACTTTATAAATACTCCTCAGCTGTTGTACACACTTAGAATTAAAGGTGTATTGAAAGATGAGACTTTCCCTAGTCATTGAACCAGTTGTATTTCTGGATTCATGATCTTGTAGTAACGAGTACAGTAGAACTGAGAGGAGGACGTTCATCATTCGATTTGCTGAGAAACTATATCCTTAACAATGTATGCTTGAAAGGAAGTAAAATTCTAATCAGTATATCAGGATAATACCTTGAATACTTTTAAAGTGCAGAAAAAGTCTGGATTACTAGGTTTCGAGGAAGCGATTAACACAGAACACTATCAACCTGACCTTTGTATACAGAAGGACAATGATGTTGTTAATCTCTCTCACTCTTTTGCTGACTATGATTTAATCCTGTTTCATTTCATCCCTTACATTCCTTGTATGGATCGTCAATAAATTTTATTGATGAATAGTGGCTAGCAGTGGGATCCAGCTTGAAGCACGTTTTGTCCTATCTGAGATGGGATCGAGTCCGGTGGGAAGGGAAACGACATCATTCACAAAAAGGCAGGTATATCCAGTTGACGAGTCCTAAGTCGGACGAAACGTGCATCAATCTAAATTCCACTGCGAGATATTATTCATCATTATTATATAATACAAACACGGCAAATGTCGAGGAATCCGTGCAGGAGGTCAATAATAATATGCCAATAGAGATCCATCAATTCGGTTAAATCAAAGACGAAATAATCCAAGCAACAAGATTATCAATTAATTTGTTGTACAACTTCTTAATTGTACTTCCTTCTTCCTTTTTCCATGTCTAATATGCATTGCGTACGTAATATGTATTGGGGAAACGAAAGAAGAAGAGAGATTTGTGAGTAGCAAGACAATACATTCATGACTCCAGTTTCATCAAGTGATTTTCATAGCTTATACAAGTTCCTCGCCACACTAGAAATCATCTTAAACCCCCTCACTAGTTCTTCCTCCATTCAACTGAATCAACATAGGACCAGGCATTACTGCGTAATGGTCCGAGTTGCCACCACAACTCATATCAGTACATCAAGTAAAAAGGCAGTGAAGTGGAAGATGAAGATAAGAGAATGCAGTCAAAAAAATATGAGGTACTAAAAGAGAGAAATGGGAAAATGGTGAGAATCGGTATAGCGTCGTTAAGATGAGGATAATGTGCCCCACTGACATAGGTCCTGAGCCATGTGATCACCCAGAGTCAGTCTCGAACCACCGGTTTCTCATGCCCCATGGACCCCAACAACCCAGTCTGCATCGCCCACATGGCTCAGACAAACAGTTAAAGACTTCATACATTGGTGCCATGTTTTAGTCTGGTCACCTCGGGCCTTTTTCTAGCCTAAACCTACTTTGGCCAACACTGTGTGACGAGGCAGACAGCGACTAGGCATATGTAACACATGCCTCAACCAGCCATCTCAGTCGATGAACGTTCACAACCGTGTCAACTGACTTACCCCTTCTCTCTAAAACTCTACGCCTACCCTGCACATTACTCACTTAGTGACACAACGGAACATGGTCTATGCTACGAAGGCAGTGGTGGTCAAACCTCAGAAGCCTCTGCCTTCAATGACCATGTCTCACAGAGAGAACTGCAGGGCAGTACACACGACATTTTAATAGACAATCAGATGGCGTACGTCAAATCCTGATGCAGGATGGACACATTACAACACTAATTAACCACCCACTTCTATGCTTCAATTCTGTTGGCTCTATAGGTCACTGTCCACTTCTACTTGATACTACATAGGCAAAAGGTTTACTGGAAATTTCGATGACAGTCAGTCAACTTAGCAAATTCGAAAAACATGACACAAAATCTTGCTAAGCAATTGTTCGCCTACAACTGTTTATCTTCAAGTGTGAAAGACAGTTACACTTTATTGATATATAAAGCATAGGAGAAAACGATGGGATATTATCGGAAGTATGTATAGTCTACAAAGCACCTAACGACGCACACAATGTTGGACGAAGTAGGTCCAGGCTGGAAAAAGGCACGAGGTGGCCAGACTAATATATGGCACCAATGTGTGAAGTCTCTGACTGTTGGTTTGAGCCATGTGGGGCGATGCAGACTAGGTGGTTGGGGTCCGCGGGTTAAGAGGAACCAGTGGTTGGAGGCTGACTCTGGGTGATCACATGGCTCAGAACCGATGTCAGTGGCGCAGATGTATCCCCCACAAACATTATCCTCATCTTAACGACACTATACCGAATCTCACCATTTTGTCATTCCTCCTTTCTTTCTTCTCGTACTTTATGTTTCTTTTGACTGCATTCACTTATCTTCATCTTCCACTTCTCTGCCTTTCTACTTGGTGTACTGATATGAGGTGTGGTGGCAACTCGGACCGTTACGTAGTAATGCCCGATCCTCTGTTGATGATGATGACCTAACAATGCCTGAGTCAAATCTTCGGATATAGACTTTGATTATATCGCAAATTTGTCTATAGGATAAACACCACAATCTACTAGTTTTCATATAAGTAATCAATGTTAACACATGAGATGTTCGTGTGAACGATTACAGACAACACGTATATAGCCCAGGTATTAATGTATACTAATGGGAGCATGTATGTGGGCGGATGAAACTCTTCATGTTATCTACACTGTAGGAGGCTAGTTCTCTTTGATATGACTGAAGAAGAAGGATTAGTGTGAGCATGAGTGCATAGCCCAGTGGACATTTATGCATTGAGGCTAGTCACACACTGGCATACTATAGTTTGTATTGTGAGAATCCAGCTAAGAATCCGTATCGATGGTACCGATATATCAGGGAGTAGAGGGGAGTGCGCATTTCTTAGGATCGACCTTTTCTAACCCTCAAAGTAGCATCAATGTGTCGGTCATCATCATTATCGTCAATATCAACACAAGACCAGGCGTTACTACTACACAACAGTACAAGTTGCTACACTTCATATCACTACTTCAAGTAACAAAACAATAAGACCGGTTAGAAAGCAGTGAAAGATAAGTAGGGGGAATGAGAAAATACTAAAAGTGGATACATCTGCGCCACTGACATAGATTCTTAGCCATATCACCTACAGTCTTTAATCGCTTGTTTCTGTTATCCCACGGACACGCCTACACGGTTGAGAGACCAACTATCAAGGATTTCATGCACTGACGACAAGTTTTAGTCTGACCACCTCCAGCCTGAACCTACTTTAGGTAATATTGTGAAACGAGGCAAACGGTGGCTAAACAGGCGTAACACATGTCCCAGTCACCCATCTCAGCATTAACTGACTTTCTCCATCTCCCTTAAAACTCTACACCTTACTTCTGCATTACTGACATAGTGTCACTGTTGGTTATCCATAGGAAACATCTTACTACTGTCAAACACCTTGATACACTTATACAAATATAATTCACTGTGAGAATTCAGAATAATATTATACAACATTTACTTACTGGGTGTTTGTGTGTTGTACGTGTTCCATAGTAGACTAAATCACGACGTCCTGTTTCTCTTCCAACTGAAGTTCTCATAACTCCTACCAATTGTATTTCTTCTTCTCCATGACCATCAGTATCATTACATTTCGATGGGATTATATTGCCATCCAAGTGAATAAAACTAAGCGAGATTATCTGTGTCCCATTTGATCTCTTCTTTTGATTCTTTTTTCTGTTTACACCACCTTTATGCTTACGATCGCATAATGGTTGAGGAGCAAAACTTGGCAAACATTGTGCTAGAGTTAACTTCACCTCTGAATCACATTGAAGTTTATAGACAGCGACTAGAAGGAATTTTTTTCGAGAATCAAGATGCTAATTTGTAGTTATCACAATAAATCAATAACAAGGTGAAAATAATCTGTCAAATAAACTTGATGAAGTTTGTGACCTTGTTCCAGTGGAGCTCATAACTTCTTGACATAAATCCCCTTTCGGTGAAGGGGTGGGGGTGGCACTCAACCCATGATGTGCTTCATATCCTTGAAAGGTTGAAGTATACAATTCTACTCAGTCTCAAGATATTTATTACCCTTAACCTTAAAATTAACCTCATTAGTAAGAGGGTTGTTGAAGAAATTACAGCGCACAGGATGAGTGTTTCATCTTGGCTTCGCAATTCTTCAGCAGAGAGAAGTGACGATCCCAATGACTGGATGGATTTCCTGGCTCATGGAGTAAAATATGTTGGAAATGATGACAGGTACTCACCAGTGATGCTAGAGCTATGTAGCGAAATGAGGGAAGTTAGAGAATGTTGTAGCAATATGGTCACCGAGAGACATGGTGGTACATTTCTCGACTCCTCAGGAGGTCGCAGATAGGCACCGCTGAGGAATACCATATTAGGACGAAACGACTGCTTCTAGGTTTACAATGTTTCTTCAAATGATATCGACCCCTGGTAGGACTAACTCTGAAATCCACTAATCCCTAGACACACATCGATGAACTTAAGACTGTCACAGTTAGGTCAAAACGACTAATGTTGTTTTCACTTTTTCCATGGTATACTTCGTTGCATATTTTTATTAGAAATAGTATATATCACTAATATTCCATGCTTACTATTTGTACATTTTGAACTGTTTCTTTTCGCGCTGTTTTCCTCACATGTAGGTCACATTTCATATAACCCGTCAGCGTTCTGATTGGTTACTGCCTCTTTAAATGTACCAATTATTTCTTGTCTTTCAAGGTTATTGTAAACTCTATAAATAGGGTATGTTAGCATTTCGAGACACTATAAACTCTTTTGATTTCTCTTCGTGAATCACTCAGACTGAACTATTCCAATCCTCAACTCTCAATCATTAATTATTATCGCTAATTCTCTGCATCATAACAGTTTAGTTTCTGAAGCTGGGCTAATGAGGTTGAAAATTTATCGATATTATGATCGGTCAGTGAATTGTAATAAAACTTCATGACGTGATAAAACATCCAAGTAACACTACAAATAGGACTTGAAGTCACAGAAAAACTTTTTAAGACTGTGTTCTGTCCATAATATCTCAAGTATCCTGTATCACATCATACACTAGTCACCTATCAGCTTATTCCGCGAGTCGGCAGAAAATGAATGATATGAAAGTCACCAGCAGAGAAGGCGTTGAGTGTAGAAATTGCTAGATCCAATGAATCAGGGTATATTCACCTACTGAATGATGATCTCCATCAGACTGGAACAATGGACACTACAAAATCTCAATGATTTATGTGTATTTTTTTGCTGCCAACAAAAGCGAGCAATCTTATCAACACAACGAAGATTTAACACATAGTGCCCCAATAGCTGTTCTAAAAAACTCCAAGAGGTCATGTAAACAAAACCTACTGGTGTAAAATAGGCTATACAGATAATATAAGAGATTATAAAGCTGAGTTTATGTAACATAATGAGTTGATGATAAGACGCGATGGCTCAAAAAAAAGTGCTCGCTGCGAAACCTGAAGGTCTTAGGTTCAGCGACGGGTAACGCTGTAGGTGCTGGCTGCTGAAGAGGACCATATAAAGAAGAAACAGCTGTCTTGTGCTCCCAGGTTTTTAATAGTCATCCAACTAATCCCAATTTATGATAGGCACCAATCTGAGATATATAAGGTCCGCACAAACCTCTAAACACAAATAACATAATTCGAAACTGCAGAATAAGCAGAGTTAATATAGGAGTAAAACCATTGGCATTGTGCCAGATTATAATTCCATTTTAATCTATTTATTAGAAATGTTACACAGTGAACGAACAGCATCACTTACTGCATAACGTACTTCTCATACACACTTTGTTGTCCATTTTCACATCAGGTAACCAACTCCACAACGTTAATACAGAGTTTATATAGTCTTAATTACCTTGCCTACTGTGTGATTGTGTTTAATGGCGTGCAAAGCTTTAACCGAGCTCCTCTCTAGATTTCTCATCTTATTAGGATTAAATAATCTTCACTCAGCTACATATTTGTGCTCTGTTATTCTAATCGACCCTGCTTAGTCGACTAGTTTTACCTATGTATTTAACCTCCCAATCATTGCAACGAATTTGGTAAACAAGATTATTTTGTCCAATCAAATCAATGGGATCTTTTTCCAAAATGAGTTTGTTGGTTTATATGTCACACTAACCCCAGCAGCCTTATTGAGAATTCTTCGTAATGCTCCTGAGGTACCTTCCTCCCATGGTAACTAACACAATACAGGCTTTCAATTCCCTCTTAACTCTGTCACCATTATCACAAGCGTTAGTAGTAGAGTTATTATGAATAACACTTGTATTACTACTACTACTACTACTACTACTACTACTACTACTACTACTACTACTACTACTACTACTATTACTATTACTACTACTACTACCACCATCACCACCACTGCTAATATTTTTCTTTCAATTTCTTGTGAATTTATTTATAAACTCAGGTGGGTAATTATAGAGACGCCGAGTATTCTTGATGCATCTGACTTCTTGCCGTCGATTTTCTAGCCTACTACGAAGCTTTAACATCTTATCACTTCACCATTTAACTAAGCCTACTCTAACTGAGATGGGGTGAGAAGACATGAAGTCTAAGTAGCCATTCGAATGGGTAGGTTTCCTATACATGACACCAGGCTCTAAACTTCCGTCTTGTGTTCGTTTAATCTTGCAATGCAATACTGCTACTTCACCTTGATTATAGGTAAATTCGATTGCATTCACTACTGAATTTATATGGGCCAAAAACACGTTGAAATATTCCGATTTTAGTACTGTTAACGTACCATCTACATACCGGAAGCATATCTTCGGCGTAGGACTAATTGTTTGAAGGGCTATCCGTTCCCAGTTATCCATAAATATATCTGCGATGATAGGACATATTGGTTATCCTATGGCAATCCTTCAGTTTGTTTATTTATATTATTTTGAAACTTAAAAACTGTAGATGTTAGGAACAGTCAGACTCCTAGTATGACCTCCTGGATCAGCACTTTAGTTAAATGTGTAAGCTCATTTCTAACCGCCTCTAAAAGGTGTACTGTTTCACTATGTGACATTTCAAAGTAAAATGTAACTATGGAGAGTTATTCGTCAACAACAACAACAACAACAATGCTGATGAATAATAATGTTTCATAAACAGATATGACGGATTATATCTCATCCTAAATGGAAGTTTCATGTGTTTAATGATCATTATTATTTACAGAAAACATCCATTAAACATATTACATATAAAACTAACCTGTTCCATTTTCTAATCCCACAGCTAAATAAGATTTACTCGGATGACAGGTTAAACAAGTCGCAAATACATCGGGAATAATGGAAATAATTTCCAAACCGAAAGGTGTACATTTTATAAGACATAAAGCAGCATACAAAACACGTTCCCCTGATAATCGAGGACCTTGGCCACGAACAGAAACAACGAAGAAACGTGTATATTTGTCACGTGGTGAAATGATGATCGTACACTTGTCAATATAAATCTTTTTACAATTTGACCATAATTCCAGGAGTTTATCTTTTACATGAAGTTTGGTAGTGCATATTGGGTTGCCTGAAAAATAATGTTTTAATAATGAAATGGTAAAATCAACACAAACAACAAGTAACTATAATATTGTGAGTGTGCTAAACCTTTCTGGCAACCTTTTTATCGGCTAAATGGACAAACAGAATCAAAGTAAAAAGACTGGTACAAGTCCATCATCACAACTTGCCACACTTTACACAAGAATAGTCAACTCAACTCTCTACCTCAACTTCATCCAGTTTGAAAAGGCATTCGACAGCGTCGACCGACAAGTAATTTGACAGACAGTTGCTTCAACATTACGCAATACCACAAATCCTTATCAATCTCATTCAACAACTATATGAAGACGCCACATACCAAGTAATTCACAATGGGAAGCTCAGTGATACCTTTCAAGTAAAGGGAAGAGAGGAGTAAGACTAGACAAGGCTGTCTACTACTACTACTGTGAGGAGGGAGAACAGGGGGATACGCAGGACCAGCGGTAAAAATCCTAGAAGTTTTGAATTTCGCCAACGATCACTTATGTCTAATGTCATACAAACTTGAACATCTACACGCGAAAACTAACAAGTTGACAGAAGAGGTAGGGCAGCGAAGACGGGACTCTCTTCAAGTGGACGTAGAGAGGACAGAGGTGATGAAGATACCCAACCAACACCACCACCAACAACAACAACAAGCTCCAATCACCATCAACGGCAGAAACTTAAAGTAAGTAGCCACTTTCACATACCCACCTACCCAGGCAGGGCAGCATCGTTTCAACTACACCAGCACAGGCACAGATGAGGACGTCAAATCAACCAAAATCGGAAAGACAGCAACACAGGCCTTCCTTCATTAACCTCAAACCAGTGTCCAGATCTTCTGCACTCCACTCACCATAAAGCAAGCGTGAACAAGATACGGATTTTCAACACCAAAGTCAAGTCAAAGCTTCTGTACGTTTCAGCGACTTGGCGCGTCACGAAAAGTATTTCCAACAAACTACAAACATATATCACATTAACAGCTGGTGCCTACGCTCGTTACTGAAGCTCAGATGGCCAGAGTAATAGGCATAAGCAGCAAGGAACTCCGGCCGATGACGAATCAACCTAGAACCTACCACTCAACAAATATGCATTGGAAGGCAGTGGAGATGGATTGGGCATGCACTCAGAAGACCATTCGAGGACACCACGCCTCAGGCCAGGTAGTCGAGTGGAACTCAGATGGGAAACCACGAGTTGGGAGTCCCAGTTGAGGGTTACATGGAGGAGATGGTGTGAGGAAGAAATGAGAGCTTGTGGACTGTCGTGGAACCAGGTTCAAAAGATTCATCATCATCATTATCAACATAGGACCAGGCATTACTGCGTAACAGTCCGAGTTGCCACATCTCACGTCAGTTCATCAAGTAGAAAGGTAGTCAGCTGAAGGATGAAGATAAGTGAATGCAGTCAAAAGAAACATGAAGTACCAGAAGAAAGAAAAGAGGAATGACAAAATGGTGAGATTCAGTAGTGTAGTCAAGATGAGGATAATGTGTGTGGGATACATCTGCGCCACTGACATCGGTTCTCAGCCATATCACCTAAGGTCTCCAACCACTGGTTCCTCTTGTCCCGCGGACCCCAACCACCTAGTCTGCATCGTCCTACATGGCTTAAACCAACAGTCAGAGACTTCATACATTGGAGCCATGTTTTATTCTGGCCACCTCGAGCCTTTTTCCAGCCTGGACCCACCTCAGCCAACATTGTGTGAGGCAATCGGTGACTAGGCATACGTAGTACGTGGTTCCATATTAGATTTGTTTATTTGATATAAAGCGCACAGTGATACAGTATTATTTACTTGATTACGTTTCGAGCATAAATTATTGCTCATAATCATTGATATGATTATGAGCAATAATTTATGCTCGAAACGTAATCAAGTAAATAATACTGTATCACTGTGCGCTTTATATCAAATAAACAAATCTAATATGGAACTACATTCTACCACAGTGCCCAAGTTTTTCACTTATACGTAGTACGTGTCCTATCCATCTCAGTCGATGAAGGTTCATAACCTCGTCAACTGACTTACCTATACTCCCCAAAACTCTGCACCTAACTTCTGCATTACTCACATGGTGACACCACGGAATACGTCCTATACTACGAAGGCAATGGTGGTCAAACACCTGAAGCCTTTTTATATCTTCCACTTTCAGAAGATTGCAGAGAAGAGAGTGGAATGAAGACGTGCTAGTAAAGCCCTATGTACCGTTAGGAATCCAAGGGACATATAATAATAATAATAATAATAATAATAATAATAATAATAATAATAATAATACAACAAAACATCTGGTCAGAAAAAGACTCTCATCAAAGTGGACAAAGTTGTGAGAGTTGTAAACCAGTGATTCCTTTCGTTTCGGGTGTCTGAACCACGCAGTCTACACCCCACCCCCCACCTCCCCCCACCCAAACACACGGTCTAGATCAGTAGTGTGAGAATTCAACCTAATCCAAGTTCCATCAGCGCTTCATCTCACAAAGTAGGTTAAACACCTGAAATCTCGTCCTATCAGCTTTCGACAGCTATGATGTCTGACAACCGTATAACAGAACAACAAACTGTAGAGCAGTATACTTGTTCTTTAATAGCTTGTGAGTATATGTCACCATTCCGCACCACAGATGATGCAAGTGGTCGCAGCAGACCAGTCGTGGAGCATACTTTTGCACTTAACAGATGACAACGAACACCCAAACATACTTAGGTTTCTGGTCAACCTATTCAGTTCAGAAGACCCTAGATTTAGTCAGCGTCTTCACCTACCAGGACAATATCATCTGCGTACTGCAAGTCAACTAGACACTCCCTTGTGAAATCGTACCAATCCCTATGAAGTTAAACGGGAACGGTGAAAGTTGGGCAGTACTACTTATCGTCAATACAGATGACAACTCTTTGTATGAATTTAATTGGTTGATAATTAGTTGGAAGGCAGTTATATAAATCACTAACCTCATCATTATGATTTTTGGGATTCAAATTGCACTCAGACGTGTAGTAGGTGGCAATAAGCCACATTTATTGTGTAAGGACGAGGATGTAAAAGCCAGAATCGGAAAAGCAAGATAGGCGTTCATTAGCCTCAAACCAGTGTGGAGATCTTTTACACTCAGCATGTGGAACAAGATCCGGATTTTCAACACCAACGTCAAGTCAGTGCTTCTGCATAGCTCAGAGACTTGGCACGTTACGAAAGGGATTTCTAACAAACTACAGATATTCATCAACAACTGCTTACGCTCGCTACTGAAGATCAGATGGCCAGAAATTATAAGTAACAAGGAACTATGGGAACGAAGATTTCAGAGAACAGAGTTCACTGGAGACATGCTACTGAAGCCCTATGTCCCATTAGGAACCTAAAGCACTAATAATAATAATAATAATAATAATAATAATAATAATAATAATAATAATAATTGTGTAAGGACCAGTAATACTACCCGACTATCCAAACTTGGGTAGGTAGAGCTGGTTTCGAGCGCGTGACTCATCGGGTGTCCAGACAGACTATATTGTACACTTAAAATATGCTACACTTGGTTCAAACGACTAACACGTAACCCAAAGCGACCTAATGGTTTAGGCAGTTGACTTTCAATCAATAGGTGATACGGTTTGAAACCTGGTCCAGTTAGTAGTATTCATAATTTTTACACAATAGATGTAGTTCATTGCCACGATTATTGAGAACATCCACACAATATGATCAACTTACTCTGGATCAAAAGTTTTTCCCAGTCCAGAAGAGTTAAAGTAGAACCGGAACAAATCAATAGATAATTTGATATCTCAGTATTATTTCCACCAAATGTTATAATTGAAGATAAAGGTAGCATAGTTGACTGAAAAGGATTAGCACAACTGAGTAGATGACATGAAGCTTGGATCCATGGAGAATACATTGGATTTTTTTCTAGAAAATAGAGAATAACGAACAAAAGAACAATCTAATTGTCCGGGAAGGATAAATATGACCAAAAAAAAAGAAAGATAATGAAGAGTGATAAGTATTATTATGCTAGGGTGGATTTCAATAGGAAGCGATTCAGTCAATAATCCTTACAAGATATTATTAGGGGTACTTATATCCCTACATATTTTATGCTCACAGTTTAGGTATATTTGAACTGTTTATACGTCGCGCGTTTTGATTGACTATTACCTCTTTAAATGTACTAATTATTCTTTGTCTTTCAAGGTCACTGTAAACTCATCTGATTTCCAGTCGTTTAGTTTCTTTTTGCAAATCACTTCAGTTGAATCGTCTCTACTCCCTCGATTATCAATTGTTAAGTATTTTCCTTCGTTCGTTCTTACAACTCTGCATCATAACAAATACATATTTGAAGTAATCAAATATCTTAAGTATGTTAACATTTGACGCAAAATTCATCCATTCAGCAGTGTACCTTTGGTTGAATATCTCGACCACTTCACTTAATTGGAGAGTTACATCAACTCAGATGGAAAAGGTTCGTTTGACATTTGTTCAGTTGAATCACCCTATAGCGCGGATGAGATATCTGACTGACTACCTAACAAACGATGAGAATCAATGCTCTGCAAGACTTCAGTCATATCATTATTAACCCTGTTGTGATAATAAAATAGCAGATTAGCCTAATCATGATCACACCAAACCTAGAAAAAATTTCTATAGTAGTTGGGTGAAAGATGTGGTCTAGGCAGATAACCAACAACTATTGGGCCATGAGTTTGAGTCCTACCCCCCCCACCTACCGAGAGGTTTGACAAGTCAATGTAGTATGATTAACCTTCAAACAATAGGTGTAGATCATTCCCTAATTCACAAATGTCTACACTGTTGCTGAATGCATCTATTTCGATCTCTATCTCTCTGGGAGAAATTTTAATTGCTCATTCGACGAGTGAATCGTCGTTTCATGGAAACATTTTAACAGTCTACGGACGCGTTAGATGCCATATTGGTCACTGTGTGCCATTGTAATTCCATTTTAGTCTATTTATTAGAAATATCACAGCACAGTGAAGGAAAATTATCATTTACTGCATAACCTACTTCTCAGACATAATTTATTATCCATATTCATATCAGGTGACTAACTACTCCACAACTTCGACACAGAGTTTATATAGTCTTAATTACCTCACTTTCTATCTGATGATAAGGGTAGTAGAATTTTTCATATATCTACTACACGTGCAGAATCTGTTTTACTACTCCATATACTTGAAGTTGATTTGATAAACAACGTTTCAGTTGGTTATCAATCACTCCCTCCCTCCACCCAACTAAGTTGTGAGTTTTCAACACTATCACTCCTATCGCACCCTACTGTGTGATTGTGTGTAATGGCGTCCAGAGCTGTAGCCGAGCTTCTCTCTAGATTTCTTATCTTGTTACGATCAAATAATCTTGACTTCACCTATGTACTTAACTTCACAATTATTGCAAAGTATTAGGTAAACAAGATTATTTTGTAAACTTCAGGATCCAAATTTAACCGGATAGAGTTGAATAAGTTAAGCATTGCGTAAAGACAAATTGTGAACGTTTCCTGATCAGCATAACAATCACATTTACGTTCATAAAGAACAAGTTCTGGATTTTCAACACGAATTCAGTCAAGTCAGTGCTCCTATATGATTCAGAGACTTTGTGCGTTACGTAAAGTATTTCCAACAAACTACAGATACATATCAACAGCTGGTGCCTACGCTCGTTACTGAAGCTCAGATGGCCAGAGTAATAAGAGTAAACAATAAGAAACTCTGACCTGGCAACGAACCAATGAAGCAACAACCTATCACGCAACAAATATGCATTGGGAGGCAGTGGAGATGGATTGGGCATGCACTCAGAAGACCATTCCAGGACATCACGCCTCAGGCCAGGCACTCGAGTGGAACTCAGATGGGAAACGACGAGTTGACAGTCCCAGTTGACGGTGACATGGAGGAGATCGTGCGAGGAGGAAATGACAGCTTGTGGGCTGTCGTGGAACCAGGTTTAAAAGTTTGCAGAGAAGAGGGTGGAATGGAGACGTGCTACTGAAGCCCTATGTTCCACTCGGAACCCACGGGACAAATTATAATAATGTAATAACTTCATTGGGAATTTACAAAATATATTTCATTTACAAAATTATTTCGCCTAATTGCATCGATAAGATATTTTAACCCACAAAGCTTGTTTCCATGTAAGTTTGTTGCTTGGAATGCCAGTCTAATCCCAACCAACCTTATTGAAAATCCTTCGTAATGCTCCTGAGGTACCTTCCTCCCATGGTAACTAACACAGTACAGGCTTTCAATTCCCTCTCAACTCTGTCACCATTATCACAACCATTAGTAGTAAGGTTATTATGAATAACACTTGTATTACTACTACTACTACTACTACCACCACCACCATCACCACCACTGCTAATATTTTTCTTTCAATTTCTTGTGAATTTATTTATAAACTCAGGTGGGTAATTATGGAGACGCCGAGTATTCTTGATGTATCTGACTTCTTGCCGTCGATTTTCTAGCCTACTACGAAGCATATCTTCGGAGTAGGATTAAATGTTTAAAGGGCTATGCGTTCCCAACTATCCAAAAAATATGTTAAGAAGTGTCCAAAGGCACAAAAAATCACCTAAATAACCTTACTAACGATTCATGAGAAAGATGCGGTATAGCTTGAAATTAGAAAATAGATCATTCTTTCGTACGATGAACATTCCTCCAGGTGATATGGGTAAGTGTAGCTGAGTGGTGGAGAATATTTGTAGCTCAGGTGGATGGTCTTGGTTGAATTATGTCCTCTGAGCTGGGTTGTTTAGCCGTAGAGCTTTCATCGTCTTCCTCCTGGACGACATCATCAGCACTAACTTCAATATGAAGCAGTGACCTGTCACAATATCTCTCCGTGAGTGATTTAGTAGGTTGCCCTGATTAACTGGTCTGTGGTTGGTTGTTTCCTTTGATTGTTGTGTCATTGACCGACTGCATAGATTTTCTTGTTGGCCATTCCTCTGCTTAACCTCTCACCTTTCTGTCGTTTATCATTTTGCTAATTGCTTGATAGATTGGTTGGCCCATAAACAAACAAATTCCCTTCAAACCCCACTATGCAGACCAAAGGATGCAACAACCAAAGACCAAAGACAAACGGAATATCATTTACAAAATCAACTGCAATAACTGTAGTCAAAACTACATTGGACAAAGTGGTAGCCCACCTTCACCTTCGTTTACATCAGAACACCAATTGGTTGTTAAACGTCACGACATTTCATCGCTGCTCATTTCAATGCACATGGATAACAACTATGGACATCAATTCAATTTGGACAATGTAGAAATCTTCGATGAAGAGACGAAACACAAAGAATATCAGAGAATTCATAGAAGCTTGTCATTCAGGTCAGTCAGTCAGCAATCAACAGATGTATAGACAGAAAGGTGAGAGGTTGGACAGAGGAATAGCCAACAGGAGAGTCTATATAGTCAGTCAATGACACAATAATCAAAGGAAACAACCAATCACAAACCAGTTGGTCAGGGCAACCTACTAAATCACTCACGGAGAGATATTGTGACAGCTCACTGCTTCATATTGAAGTTAGTGTTGATGATGTCGTCCAGGAGAAAGACGATGAAAGTGTAGCTAAGCAAGACTGATATTGATGAGTGTTTGTTGTAGCTGTGACTAATTTTTCCATGAACAATTTAACAGTTCAAATTTCATCACAGTACGACGAATACTAGTCTGAATATCATAGATATAATTCGTCGCATAGTTAGATTTGCATATGTATTAACAATTGCATTGATACGATACATGTGTTTAACCCAACCTGATCATGCTTTACTCGGCTACTAACTGTTATTACAATCATTGGTGAAATCAAGAATCGTTAACCTGAAATCTAAGAAGGGTGTGCAAAGAGGATGGAATATATGCCTGAAGAAGAGTAATGATAAGATTTTCAAGAAGCGAATCGACTCAAGAGTATTTCTAAGGACTTTTTCAAGTATCCATTTCATTCAGTACTTGAAAAAGAAGGGATAAAAATAATTACAATCTTATGTTATATTAAAGGAATAAAGATCTTACTGTATTCAGTATTGAAATTCCATATCATAAGACGGTAGTCCATGAGAAGAACATATAACTCATACCTTTCAGATGGGACAAATTCCATGCTTACCGCAGAACAACCAAAATGAGCCATTGAATAAGTATCAATTGGAGTGAATCTGTAAGAGAATCAATCACATGGAGGAAAAAAAACACGAAACACAATACAAAGTCAAGTAGACGAAGAATCTCTATACGTTAAGTAAATCACGTTTTACTCTCCCTCTAAAACTCCATCCAGCTGAACGATAACACTAGATCCCAACCGATAGCTGCTATGTCGACGTGGTGGTCGGGCTTGCATATCACAATGACCCAACGAGTTATGCCGGTGGAACACTTGTTCCCTCGAGGCTTTAACATACCAGAAAGGTCTGTTGGATAGTGATTAGACGAAAAGCAGTTACCGCTGTGGTGTAAATTTCTACACTATGATGGGGGGTCTAAGGGTAAAGTCGTACTGTTGCTAGCTGGATGGGGTATAACAGCAGGAAGGTGTTTCACTTGGATGACCAGCAGTGTCTTCTCAGTGGAACGGGAGAGTTGGAAAAGGTCAGGCCCAAAAATGACTCACTCCACCATATCCCACAGTCTGTCGCGCCGGCGGTGTTCGTTCATTTATCGTTTCTTTTTGACTATCCGGCCCGAAAACAACAAAAGTTCAAAATAATCATAAACAAAAGGCTGCCTGTTACAGGCTTCAAGCAGATGTCCGATGGGCTCTGCGGTCACACAAATCTCTTTCAGGTACCTTTAGAAGAAATAGCCTTCCAAGTGTGAAAGCTCTGGTAACTCGAACCGTCACGCAGTAATGCCTGGTCCTATACTCATATTGATAGATGATAACGCCAGATGAAATCAAAGTGTTGAGATTATTAGATACGGTTAATCGAAGACATTACGGGATAAAAGAAAGAAGAAATGTTGAACGTCAATCGAAACTATGAACGTATTCATCTAGGGATATAACTCTTCAGTTTATATACAATATCTATGGCCTTGAGGCGAATAGACAAAATTGTAGGCGATTAACCAATAGAAAAACAGTATTCTCTTAAAAGCGGTAAAATTGAGTGGTACACATGGGGCGAAAAACCTCAAGTATAAAATGTTCATTTTTAGGGATATAACATCCTCAGGATAATTCTGTGTTTTGGTAAAATATTCTATAAAAAGCAACAATCTGAACGAAGGATATTCTTTTCAAGTTTTTATTCATTGTAGACTGACATCAAATGGAGGAACAAAGGAAACCTGAGAGCACTGGAAAGCTGTTTCATCCTAGTGTGGGACTCCTCAGCAGTGCTCACCCACGACCCCGCCGTCCAGGGATCGAACCTGCAACCTTCAGGTTCCGCGGCCAGCGCGTTACCATTGAGCCACTGAGTTAGAATCCAAAGCTCCATATTTCCAACTTCTGTTAGCTCACGATTTAGCGCAACCGCTACCCAATGTCATCGTTGATTATCTGTCCTCACGGCTATCAGGCTTTGACTCCACCGGTCACGACTTCTCATTGGAACTTCGGGAATACCTCTCGAAGCTAGTCACCAATGGGCACCAGTTCAATTAAATCTTCTGAGGGAGTTGTGGAGATTTGGAAATATTTCAAGTTGTTATTCATCGTAGACTGACATCAGTTGGAGGAACAAAGGAAACGGGTTCGATCCCTGGCGGGGTCGTGGGTGCGCACTGCTGAGGAGTCCCACAATAGGACGGAACAGCTGTCTAGTGCTCCCAGGTTTGCTTTGTTCCTCCAACTGATGTCAGTCTACGATGAATAAAAATTTGAAATATTTCCAAATCTCCACAACTCCCTCAAAATTCTTTTTAATAAATTTCCAAATCAGGTTCTACAATTATAAAATGTTAGGCGGTCAATTACGGATTGTAAAGAAATCGAAATTTCCTTTATCGATTCGTCAATATTGGAGTGATACATATATACAAGAATGATATGATGGTGATGAACAAAAAGATAACAAATAAAGGTTAGAGTGACCTTTCGTTTACTGAAGGCCAAGGTAGAAGTAACAATTGGACATGTTCTTTCTGGATGCACAGCTCAGACTTCATCAATCTTATTGCGACAAACTCAGCTATATTGAACAGGCATTGGCGAGTTACATGTGGTATTGTTTTTAGAACACAATGAATGACGCTGCTCAAAACATTCAAAATGTGATTAAATCTTCATCATTGTGATTGATTGTCAGTCACTTCACAAAGAGTCCTTAATCATTGATTCCTATCATCCCTGGGACTGCTGTCAAGTAGTCTACATCTCCCTACACTAATAAGACCATAAGACAGAATTTATAAAACTGGTACCTCACATCATGATTTGGTCACCCTACGTTTTCTTACAACATCCATCATCCATCCAGATGAACATAGGACCAGGCATTACTACGTAACGGTCCAAGTTGCCACCACACCTCATATCAGTACATCAAGTAGAAAGGCAGTGAAGTGGAAGATGAAGATAAGAGAATGCAGTCGAAAAAAATATCAAGTACGAAAAGAGAAAAATTAAGAATGAGAATGGTGAGAATCGGTATAGCGTCGTTAAGATGAGGTTAGTGTGTGTGGGGATACATCTGCGCCACTGACATCGGTTCTCAGCCATGTAATCACCACCACTGGTTCTTCTTGACCCGTGGACCCCAACCACCTAGTCTGCATTCCCCACCACATGGCTCAAACCAACAGTCATGCATTGGTGCCACCTCGGGCTTTTTTCCAGCCTGCACCTACTTCAGCTAACATTATGTGATGAGCCAGACGACGACTAGGCATACGTAGTACGTGTCCCAACCATCTCAGTCGATGAAGGTTCAAAACCTCATCTACTGATTTACCTCTACTCCCTAAAACTCTATACCTGACTTCTGCATTACTCACGTAGTGACACCACGACACACCATTGCCTATACTACGAAGGCAACGGTGGTTAAACACCTGAAGCCTTCTCATATCTTCCACCTTCAATGGGCATGTTTCACAGCCATACAGTAGAACAGAGTGGACCGCTGTGCAGTACGGGTGACCCTTAATAGACAAACGGATATCACAGCGGCGCCATCGGTGAGGCATACTGGCAAAAGCCAGTCGAGCCTTTTGTATCCGTACAGAGATTTCACCGGCCACTGAGCCATCAGGGATGATCCTACTTCCCAGGTAAGTGAAGTGGTCAACACACTCTACCACTTTACTTCTTACAACATAATCCAACTTCGGTCAGGATTTTACATCAGGGTGATGCCTCAGCATATGCAACGCATGTTAATATACGTATCACAATTGAAGAAATTCGTCTGTTATTGCGGGACTGATGATTACAGTATATAAATAAGGTCAATTTTGTCCAGCGTATCAAATACGAGTACATCTCAGTAGGTCATTAATAACCTGGTCAATGTATAAACATTCCAATACAGATCGTGTAGAAGAATATTCCACTACTGTACTGGTATGATAAACTTCTGATTTTAATTGCACGAGTAGCACCTACAAATGAACAATTTTTTTTAGTTTATGTACCTCTACTCCATGTGTTTTACAGTCCGTTTAGTGATGAGAAGCATCATTCAAGGTTTCATGAAAGATGATTGTTTGATCGTTGAAGGTGGTCCCCAGAAGGTCCTACTTGACCAAGGCTTCCTCGTTGTCGGCAATCTTCAGCACAGCGTATCTACAACTTCGAGGGGACTGATATCCCCCTCCCCTACGTGAGATTCCAACCTTCGTCATCCAATGCTTGAATCAGAGACTGGATAAGAGTATTATTTTCTGTAACCAGCCGGTGTTTCTATTCTTCGAATTGAAATAATGGTGATTTGACCACCATCATTCTTTCGCTATCCTACTCTGGTAATAAAACACCAACTACGCGACAACTAAGTATGCGCAGTTTATGCAACCTTATTCACTTCAGCGGTTGTCAATTGTGTAGCTAGTGACTTACCTGATGCTCTTCACCCCTAACACTGCCTGATAATGCTTTGAGTGGTCGCTTGGAGAATGAGTTGGCGTATACTGTTTCAATTTTCTCAGGAGGGTAGAACTATGTGATTGGCAGAAAGTCAACCAAATAGCTTCATCATACGCCCACTCACTCATCAAGCGACCAATTAAATCACAGTCATGCATGTAGCAAGGCGAATAAGCAATAAGAACAGGTAGCATCTGTCTAAGTGATAGTTTATCGGATCAGTATATAATGAGTCACAGTTCCTTTGAGGTGCTACTTGATTGCTCGAATCTTACCACAAGAAGTAGGGTTCGAACCCTTAACTCAGTAACTGAATGTTTAACGTTTAAACCAGATAGCTATAGCTGTACTTACTGAACAAAGTCTCGTTGTTGAATATTCACCTCTTCATTTCGTCCATTTTCAACTTCTTCAGGTTTACTGCATTGCCACCAAGTGAGACGAGATTGATCGTCAATTCCATGATAAGCTGATGACATTTTCACACTTTCATATGTTACAAGCCAAGTGAACTCAGCTTCATTTGCTAATTGAGCAATTAATAAAACCTCAGAATATACAACTGGAAGTTTGGAATTGTTGTGTGTAGTTACGATGTTCTGATGAGTGATATCAATCTAAAAATTAGAGAGAAAATAGGTGGTAAAAGCAAACCGTCACCTATTTACACACAGAGTAGAATATGATGACAGAATAGGGCAAAAATCTGTCACCACACGAATAAATAAAAACCAAGTTGATTAGCCTCATCGGTCACAATTGATAACGTCGTCTCATTAGAACTTCAACAGTCTAAATTAATTAGCGCCAGAGAAACCAACAAAACTTCCACAAACCTACAAATTCAAATAATTGTTCAGTCGTTATGAATGGGTTAACTTCGAAATGAAATTCTCATAGTTCTAATGGGATGTCAGTAGTGTCCGATACGGCGAGTCGAGGTGAACATGGATACAGTTGCTTAACGACGGTAGACAATTTAAAAAAAGGCAACTGTTTGAATGATAACAGAGGCTTGAGAAAAAATACTGTTTTCCAGCTGGTGATAAATTTTAAGCAATTTAACACTTTTTGTGTCTACCTTGGACTCAAGAATCGATTCGAAATGTACTCGTCGATAGAGTGTACATTCTTGCAGTAGGAAGTAAATGAGACATACCAACTGTTCAACGGCTACCTTTGTCAGTTAACCTCTGTAGATGAGACAACAAATTCGAACTAGTTGGAATTTCAAAGCCTAGAGCCAATTAGCTATAGCTCCACTTTACACTACTACTACTACTACTAGTATTCACATACAGATTGCTATTCGACGCTAAAAGTCAATCTACACAAAACTCTAAACATAAGTTTCGTACCTCTCGGGACTCGTCAAGATGACTAGTCATCAATTTATATATATGAGAATGAAAGGTCAAATATTATTGAATATGAAAGAGTTATGACACTAATCTCGGTAATATAATCAGATTACAAAGGTGGATTAGGTGAATTAGTACATACAACAGGAGACTACAGTTTACCAATAGCTGACACATACATATCAGTCGGTAAACACAGTGGAATGTGACATAATCAATTATGAGAGGTTGAAGTTGGTGTCAAAGCAGGTGTTTTGTTATCTCAACAATGATAACCTGAACTGTATAGTATATTTTACTGATAACAGATTTCAATCTCTATTTCAGCATCATACTACTCGTTTCCCCACTGTATGGTACTTTGAGAAATATATCCTTCATCCGGATCGAGATAATTATAGGTTTAGGGGTTAACTGTTTTCTACAATGCTTCACAAACTGTAATGGATATCCATTTTCCATAAGTATGCCTGTTAGAAGATTCCTCTCATCATCCATCCTATCAGATGTACAAATACGTTGGATTCTATTGAACAAGCATCTTACTCAACCTTTCTTATATTTCATTAGACAAAAGCTATACAAACTCAAGTACTGTCCTGTCCATGTTCCATCCGACACATGAGTATATCAGAGATGCATGTTGATGGTCATTTTCTTCTTCACATGTCACACTGATATGATCTTACGCGATATTACGCCTTTTTAACATACTCACGGTGTCCTCATCTGTGTCGCATATTACAATGATACGATAAATGTATCCTCTATAGAATGTGACATTACTCATGAAATCATGAGCCATTAGTTCAATATGTGATATAATATACATCTGGTAATAACGGTGGTAATGGACTCCACATAGCAAAAGCATCAGTTGGTCAGAAGTGTTCACCTTCGAAAGTGGAATGAACTTTATCAGTGTATAATGAAGGGATCGCCTTTAAATGCATTGGAGAAATAGAGAAGGAAGGTGAAATTCGAGGATATATAATCGCACAGAATATTGACTTTCTTCGTTAGGGGTATTATTTATCCCTTGGGTTGTTAGTGGAACACACGGCTTCAGTTGCATGTCGACATTTCACCCTCTTCTCTGATGTCTTTTGAACCTGGCTCCACCACTGCTCAAAAGCTTTCATTTCTTCCTCACACACTCTCCTTCATGTCACCCTCGGCTCTGACGCCCAACTCATTTCCCATTTAGCTTCCACTCGACAGCCTGGTCTGACACGTGATGTCCTCAATCGATTTTCTCAGTCTACGTCCAATTCAATCCATCTCTACTTTCTCCTGCATATTTGTTGGGCGATAGCTTCTTGGTTGGTTCGTTTGATGCTAGGCTACAGTTCGTCTTTGCTTATTATTTCTGGTCATCTGATCTCATCTTCAGTGTCGAGCGTAGCCGGGCACCTGTTAATGAATGTCTGCAGTTTGTTAGAAATACTTTTCGTAAGGCGCCAAGTCTTTGAATAAACCAAATAAAAGCACTGACTTGACTGAAAATCCGGATTTTGTTCTTAATGCTCAGTGAAGTAGATCTCCACACCAATTTCAGATCGATGAAGGAAGGCCTGTCTTGCTTTTGCGACCATCGCTTGCACATCCTCATCTATCCCTGCGTCGCCTGTATTTGAAAGGATACTGCCTAGGTAGATGAAAGGGACTACTTCCACAGATATTCATATCAGCAAGATAGTCAACAAGTTGAGGTGTATCTTTCAATGAATACTTAAATAATACACTGCCATTACGCTTAATTTGAAACAATTAGTCCCTTTAACACATTTACATAACGTTGCTAGAAGACGAAGATTATCTGAAAGTGTGACTAGTGTACTTGTGCAATACACGTTTCGAACAATCTGATCACTCACACATTTACTTTTCATATCGTCAATTTATATATGAAAATGAAAGGAAACAGGAAAAGTTAGACAATGAATGTGAAAAGGTTGTGACATCAGTCAGTCTTGCTAACATTACCACATTACTAAGGATTACCAAGGTGAACAAAGTGAAACAATAAATTGTATTGGTACATACAACGGGGGCTACACTTTACGAATGGCTAACGCTGATTTTGAAGTTAAATAAAAGTCTGGTCAACATTTGGACCTCACAGCCCAGTTGGTAGATCACCAGGTAGGAAACCAGGTGGTCATTGGTTTGAATCTCACCGCAGTCCAAAAATTCAATATCACTTTCAATCATCACCCAGTATCAATATCTTCAATCCTGTTTCCATACTGATCTTATGATTCATTTGAATGAAGATGGATGTCTGTCATCAACGTTTGTGTGCTAAAATCTTTTTCACCCATGCTAGTCTGCATAGCACGGTTACTGCTCCTTAGGTATGTATGTGAGCGTCCACATACTACGCCTGATACTGTATCAGTCAGTCTCCAATACACAAAGTGGCAAAATCATTAGCCGAAATACTAAGCCCGATTCGCAATGTATTATGTAAGTATTCATTGAAAGATACACCTCAAATTGTTGATTGTCTTACTGTCATGAATATCAGAGATACGAAGATGTACCCTACTGATGTCAACTCTTCATTTATAGATGTACCCCTAACGAAGAAAGTCAATATTCTGTGCGATTATATATCCTCGAATTTCACCTTCCTTCTCTATTTCTCCAATGCATTTAAAGGCGATCCTCTCATTATACACTGATAAAGTTCATTCCACTTTCGAAGGTGAACACTTCCGACCAAGTGATGCTGTTGCTATGTGGAGTCCATTACCACCGTTATTACCAGATGTATATTATATCACATATTGAACTAATGGCTCATGATTTCATGAGTAATGTCACATTCTATAGAGGATACATTTATCGTATCATTGTAATATGCGACACAGTTGAGGATGCCAAGGGTTTGTTAAAAAGGCTTAATACCGTACAAAATCATATCGGTCTCATATATGAGAAAGAAAAAGACCATCAACTTGCATTTCTTGATGTACTCTTGTGTTGGAGAGAAGATGGGTCTATCATACGATCAATATATAGGAAGCCTATTTGGACAGGACAGTACTTGAGTTTGTACAGCTTTTGTCTAATCAAATTAAAGAGAGAGACATAGGTACATGCTCATTTAATATTATTTCATCATTATTATTTTTTCCTTGAGTTCCTAGTGGAACATAGGGCTTCAGTAGCACGACTTCCTTGCACTCTGCTTTTTGCAGTCTCTTGAACCTTGCTACACGACTGCCCACAAACTTTCATTTCTTCCTCACATCATCTCCTCCATGTCACCCTCGCCTCGGACGCCCAACTCGTCGTTTCCCGTTTGGATCCCACTCAAGGACCTGGCACGTGATGTCCACAATTGGCCTTCTTAGAGTATGCCTAATCCATCTCGACTTCCTTCAGCATGTTTATTCGGTAATAGGTTCTTGGTTGGTTCGTTCCCACCGTCCCCTGTTGCCTATACTTTCTGGTGATCTGATCTTCAGTATCGAGCCAGCGTAGGCAGCTGTTGATGAATGTCTGTAGTTTTTTGGAAATGGTTATCGTAACGCATCAAGTTTCTGAACCATCACATAGCAGCACTGACTTGTCTGACGTTGGTGTTGAAAATCCACATATTGTTCTTTGCGCTGAGTGCAGTAGATCTCCACATTGATCATTTCAGATCATTGATCTTGGTTTTGATATCCTCATCTGTGCAGACGCCACCGCCTGTAGTTGAAAGAATGCTCCCTGCCTAGGTAGGTGAAAGAGACTACTTCTTCTAAGTTTCTCTCCTTAATGATGATTGGTGCTTGTTTTTTTTAATGTTGTTGTTCGTTGGGTATCTTCATCACCCCCGTCTTCTCTACATTCACTTGAAGTCCCGTTTTCGCTGCCTCACCTCTTCTGTCAACTTGATAGACTCATTAAATAGGATTTAACGTATTTGTACATCCGATAGGATGGATGATGAGAGGAATCTTCTAACAGGCATACTTATGGAAAATGGATATCCATTACAGTTTGTGAAGCATTGTAGAAAACAGTTAACCCCTAAACCTATAATTATCTCGATCCGGATGAAGGATATATTTCTCAAAGTACCATACAGTGGGGAAACGAGTAGTATGATGCTGAAATAGAGATTGAAATCTGTTATCAGTAAAATATACTATACAGTTCAGGTTATCATTGTTGAGATAACAAAACACCTGCTTTGACACCAACTTCAACCTCTCATAAATGATTATGTCACATTCCACTGTGTTTACCGACTGATATGTATGTGTCAGCTGTTGGTAAACTGTAGTCCCCTGTTGTATGTACCAATACAATTTATTGTTTCACTTTGTGCACCTTGGTAATCTTTAGTAATGTGATAATGTTAGCTAGACTAGTGTCACAACCTTTTCACATTCATTGTCTAACTTTTCCTGTTTCCTTTCATTTTCATATATGAATTGACGTTTTGAGAAGTAAATGTGTGAGTGGTCAGATTGTTCGAAACGAGTATCACGCAAATATATCACTCGCATTGTTACAGATGATCTTTGTCTTCTAGCAACGTTATGTAAATGTGTTAAAGGGACTAATTGTTTCAAATTCATCCAAAACTTTTCATTCATCTTTGGTATGTGTTATGTTGTAATTGTTGCAGATCCTGTCACCTAGAAAGGATCATTTTTAATCAATGTAAGATATTCTTTAGAAAAGCTGTACACAACCTTTATCATGGTGTTTGATATGACTTTCAGCGTTTAGTCATGTGACAACTTATAAATCATCCTAGTAAACGCAGCTAAGATCTTGTGATTATCCTGTTGCTTAGATCGAAGACTGTGGACTGAGTTCAAAAATATAACTTGGTGATGGGTCAAATGCCCTCAGTACTGAACAAGACTGGGAACACACAAGTGTACAACAGGAAACCAGTCACACTTGTTGTATGAGAGTTAACGATACTATCTGGTTATCCAGATCTCAGCAGACGGGGCCGGTTTTGAACCCGTGACCTAACCAGTTGAAAGTCAAGTACTTAGACCACTGAGCCACCCCTATATCAACTCGCTTCTCTTATTCAAATTGCTTCAACGCCAAGTTACGAAGGTACCAAACAGCCGATCACCATATGGCGTAACAATATGCGAAAACTCAAGCGAATTTCAAGGCGATGCTTATCACGGATTAACACCAGTTAGATACTTTGGACAGCTGTTTCGCCCTAGTGTAGGACTCCTCAGTTGTGTAAACCCATGACGCTTTATGAAGCTTAGGACTGCCGGGCTCGCTACCATAGAACCAATCGGTAAGCATCTGATCTCAATCGTGTTTATGGATGCACACAGTTGATAAGTCTCGTACCATGGCGTAATAGCTGCTCAATGCACCAAGTTTTGTGTCACAGATCACGTCTCGTCAATTTCGCGTACGGGTACTTTCCAACGGAAACTACCTATTGACTGGGAGTAGAAAAAAAATACTCACCTCTGAGAAATATCAGCGTAGACTGTCCAATTTTTAAATCATTCACAAATTGAACATTCTAATTTTAGGTATACCGATCCATGCAAGTCAGCCACGTAGCTAGCTAGATTCAGGTGATTTGTGTCAACCGAATTTGTCCGGGTACACCACCGATGAGGTAATTCGATCTCGAAATGAACGCGACGGTTGTCCATTGTTCGGGTTACTGATCTTAGCTGGTTGCAGATACGCCTTGCTGAAGAGTGCCAAAAAGCACATAACTAAGGTCCACAGTTTCCTGCTGACTGCCTCTAACCAACTAACATCTACTAATGTACACCGCGATGCTGAGCTTCCTAGCTTGGTTGCCACATTGCAAATATGATCGATAGAATTCGGTCTGCACTCAGGACTGGACAACATGAAATTGGTTACACTCCCATGACCAATCAATACATGTAAGCTACACTTACAGGAGGTCAATCGCGGCCCGAATAGCTCGGTGGTGAAGTCGCTGACTACAACACTGGCTGACACGAGTTCGAATCTCAGGTGGGGCATCAGTTCCGTCGAGGTTGCAGATACGCCTTGCTGACGGGTGGCAAAAAGCTTGGGACCTAGGTCCAGGACTTCCTGCTGATTGCCTCCAACCAACTAACATCTATTAATGTGATCGATAGGATTCGGCCTGCACTCAGGACTAGACAACATGAAATTGGTTTCACTCCCGTGATCACTGGTCTGTCTGGTTGGTTGATAAAACCTACAGATCAATCTGAGTAACTTTATTAACTACTCAAATTGTTCATCAGTAGTAAGTATCAAATCAAGTAAAATGAGACATTTAAAAGAGATAAACCTACTTTTTGAATATTTCTATCATTGTCATTCACATTCATTAGTTGTAGTTTACCCTCTCCACCATTTGCCAAAACTAATTTCATCAGATGTTCATTATTGAAATGTGTAAATCTATTCTCCAAGATGAGTAAATTTTTTGGTATTGAACATTCAGGAATATGAATCCATCGTTTAGGCAATTGCATAAAACCTTGTTTGAAATAGATTAAACTTAAAGCACCATCTAAAATATGAAATGCTGACAAGAAAAAAAAAAAAGAAAAAAGAGAGAGGATAAATCCCATTTTTTTTTTCTGAATGGTCAATGTTTAAACGTTTATCAGATATGTTGTACGGGGGTTGTGGCTGACTGGTTTATGTATCCAGGTAGGTAGTGGTATTATTAACCCTCATACAATAGTTGTGAGTTCATTGTTGCCTACTTTACTTGTCAAATATAAGATGATACTGGAAAACTGATCTGAAACTACTATCAGTTCAAGGATAGAGAGTGAAATGGTTAACATTTGGTCACCTTAAGTCATTTTTGTCACTGACTAACGAGATATTCAACTATCTATCAAATGATGAGCTTATTCCACTGAAGTTTAGATATACAGCTGTTATATATAACTATTGAAGAGATGATCATAAGTTGCTCATGTATAATGGAATCAGCATATCAGGAATCCCAAGGTTAAACGAAGGGTACTAGCTAGACACAATAGACAAGTGAGTTGATGAAGTTGTGAACCTTCAGCAACTGAAATGGTGTGGACATGTGTTGTACATTTCATTCCATCATATATCTCAACATCTAAGGGTTCAGGATGGCCAGATCAAAATATAGGTGTACTTTAATATAAATTCTCATTTCTATCCAGTTATTGTTTGTATACTACTGTGAATTGTATCAATTAGAACTGGTGAACTTGCCTGCAAGATCCAACGTGATTATTGCATAACGATGAATAAATGCATATCAATAAACTTGTTGCCAATGAGCTAAACATTTATTGGACAAGAAAGTTTAAGGTGCTATATGATGGCATAAATTGCGTTCGAACCCCATGATCTAACGATAAAAAGGCATAATAATAGTCCATTTTAGTCTGTTTATTAGTAATATCAAACAATGAAACAGTATCATTTCCTCTTCTGCTTCTTTTTTGATTTGCCCTTCATACGCCTACCTTGTCTCTTGTGGAATCCTTACCCACTGCTGGTAATTCCCTATAATTTCTGCCACTCACTCAACATATACTAATTACATCCATTCTTATCAGCAACGCCTACTACATTATCAGTCAAGAAAATTCAACAACACCAGTATACTAAGTAAGGCGCATAGAGGAATATGCGGTCTAACCAGAGTATACTTATAACGAGACAAGACAAAGGAACTGGAATCGTACCCTTGAATAAAAACGACTATAATCATAAAACGAGTAGCATCCTCAAAGATACTACGAAGTTTCAAAATTTCGTGAACGGGCTAGATCACATTGAGAAAACCACTACAGTTTAAAGGACACTTTTGAATTTATTTCAAAAGTCGAAGACAAGAATATTAGCAAGGAAATTATGATTTCTATGAATGTTACTTCCTCGTTTGCCAATGTTCCTCTCCCGAAAACAATTGGTTTCATTTGTAGTTCACCGCTAGAGATAACAAGATGGAGGTAGGTATACCACTTGGAGCCCTACAACAGCTGCTCCTTTGTTGTAAGATAAATGTACAACTTCGGTTTAACAAGAAAATTTATTGTCAGATAAAAGGTGTCCCAATGGATCCTTTTTTAGCCGACATGTTCATGGCGAAGTTGGAAAGTCGACCACTGCGGAGTACGATAATATAAACTGTCCTTCTATTGTAGATACATGGACGACACTTTTATTCTGTAGAACGAATGATACCAATCCTAATATCCTTCTGGATACATTCAACGGTGCTCATCCAGAAATCGAGATCGCATGTGAAACAGAGAAGGAAGAATCTTTGCCATTTCTGGATGTTTTACTATCAAGACGAACAGATAGCAGTGTCAGACGCAGTATTTATCTTAAGAAATCATGGGTTGGTCAGTATACACGATTTCCTATCATTTGTCCCTCTTACATACAAAAGAATTCCATCCGCATACTGAGATTTATTCAACAACTATATGAAGACTCCACATGCCAAGTAATTCACAATGGAAGCTCAGTGATGCCGTTCAAGTGAAGTGAAGACAGGAGTAAGACTAGACAAGGCTGTCTACTATCACCCATGATATTCCTGATTGCTGTAGACTGGATCATTCAACAAACAGTGAAGAGCGAGAAGATGGACGTACGCTGACTGCGCTGGGGAAAAGATCTTAGAAGATTTCGATTTCGCCAGTGATGACTTGTGTCTAATGTCACACACACTTGAAGAGCTACACGCGAAAACCAATAAGTTCACAGAAGAAGCAAGGCAGCGAAGATGGAACTTCAAGTTAACATAGAGAAGACAGAGGTGATGAAGATACCCAACCAACACCACCACCACCAACAACAACAACAAGCTCCAAACACCATCAACAGGAGAAACTTAAAGGGAGTAGCCTCTTTTACCTACCTAGGCAGGGCAGCATCGTTCCAACTACAGGCAGCACAGGCACAGACGAGGACGTCAAAGTCAGAATCGGAAAAGCAAGACAGACGTTCATTAACCTGAAACCAGTAGGTAGATCTTCGGCACTCCGCATGTGGAACAAGATCCGGATTTTCAACACGAATTCAGTCAAGTCAGTGCTTCTGTATGGCTCAGAGACTTGGCACGTTAGGAAAGGCATTTCCAACAAACTTCAGACATTAATCAACAACTGCCTACACTGGCTCGTTACTGAAGGTCAGATGAGAAGGTGAGAAAGAATAAGCAACAACGAACTCTGGCTGGCTGACTGGCTGGCAACGAACCAACCAAGAACCTATCGCTCAACAAATATGCAATGGAAGGAAGTGGAGATAGATTGGGCATACACTGAGAAGGCCGATTGGGGACATCACGCGACAGGCCAGGCACTCGAGTGGAACCCCGATGGGGAACGACGAGTTGGGTGTCCCAAATGAGGGTGACATGGAGGAGATCGTGCGAGGAGGAAATAAGAGCTTCTGGGCTGTCGTGGAGCCAGGTTCAAAAGATTTCAGAGAACAGAGTTCACTGGAGACATGCTACTGAAGCCCTATGTTCCATTAGGAACCCAAGGGACAAATAATAATCATAATATTGTAGAGGAAAAAAACACATTTACGTAAGCCAATTAGCATCTTACAGTTATTCTCCAAAGTGACAGTAATCGTATCTTCACAATTGCCACCATAACTATGCACAGAAGATATAGGGCAACCGAGATGAGGTAAGAACCGACGTTGTTGTGGACCGCCAAAACAATCAGTCATATCCCATTTGACCAAAACACCCTCCAGACCACCTGACAGAAGATGAGCACCTGTAATGATATGGAAAATATAGTATAAGAAATGTAATTCAGTAAACACTTACACTGCTGATTCGAATTATATTGTGAGGGTCACTTACAAAACCTGGAAATAATCTGAAGTGTAACAGATAATAGGTATTAGTTCACAACTCAATAGTTGGTTAGGGTACGTCTAATTACAGTACATTACTTGTAAAGATGATGCGATTTAATAATCTCCCAGACTCAGAAAACTATGATATCAGCTAAATTTAGTGTCACTGAAAGATACTGTCCAGTTGATGGAATCTAAGCAATTTAGTCAGAATCATACTTATAATCCCATAGATATCCAGACCAAGTTGGAATTTGATGGTTTGAAACAATTTGAACATTGGGTAAATGACATTCATTACTTTGGTGTTTGTATTTCCCAGTGAGAAAGTAAAACAAAGCAAATATACTTCAACTAACGTTTCACTATTCAATGCTACCCCTAGCATTTTTCAAATAACCAGGTTACTATCTGGGAGTGAAGAGATCAACATAGATGAAACCAATGAGGAAACTTAGTTACCATAAATACCACCAACAGCCACAAAAACATCAGTGGACACAAACCCTCCGACAACAACAGAAGTCTTGAACACAACGCCATGAAGTTATTGAAAGCCGGGAAAGCAGCAGGACCAAATGGAATTCCGCCAGAAGCACTGAAAACAGACGCAAAGACATCAGCATATATGTTCACACCACTATTGCGGAAGGTTTGAAAGAAAGGAAGGAAAGGTGGATGCCGATCGGAAGAAGGGCTACCTTGTCAAACTCCCAAAGAAGGGAGACCTAAGTCTTTGCTCCACCCCTGTCCACCCCAAGCAAAATATTTGGCCACATCATCCTGAAGAGACTAAAAATTGCTCTGCATTCAAAATTACGACCGCAACAGGCTGCCTAGCTTCAGGAAAAACAAATCACGTGCGGATCAAATTGCAACGTTACACTGCGCATCATCATAGAACAGCAAAGAATGACAGCCAACTCGACTCAACCTCAACTTCACCGATTTTGAAAAGGCCTTCAATCGAGAAGTGATTTGGTAGGCAGCTGCATTAACACTACAGTTTTAGTGCCACAAACCTTTATCAATCTCATTGAACAGCTATATGATGACGCCACATGCCAAGTGATTCGCAATGGAAAGCTCAATGGTGCCTTTGAAGTGAAGACAGGAGTAAGATACGGCTGTCTACTATCACCGATGATCTTCCTGATTGTAGTGGACTAGACTGTGAGGAACGAGAAGAGGGACAGACGCAAGGTCGATGAAAAGACCCTAGGAGATTTAGATTGGAAAGACTACAAGACAGGTCTTCCTGCATTAATCTGAAATCAGTGTGGAGATCTACTGCACTGCACTCAGCACAAAGCGTGAACAAGATCCGGATTTTCAACACTGAGTCAGTTAAGTCAGTGCTTCCATGTAATGGTTCAAAAACCTGGAGCGTTACGGAAAGCATTTCGAACAAACTACAGAAATTCATCAACAGCTGTCTACGCTCGATACTGAAGATCAGATAGATGGCCAGAATAGTAGGAATAAGCAACAAGGAACTCTGACCCGGCAATAAACCAACTAACAACCTATCGCCCAATAAATATCCAGAAGAAAGTGGAGATGGATTCAATCGGACATACACTGAGAAGACCATTCGGGGACATCACTCGTCATATCAGCCCATCGAGTGGAACTCAAATGGGAAATGACGAGTTGGGTGTCTGAGGTGACAGTGACATGGAGGAGATGGTGTGAGGAAGAAATGAAAGCTTCTGGGCAGTTGTGGAGCCAGGTTCATAGGACTGCAGAAAACAGAGTGGAATGGCGACGTACTACGGAAGCCGTATGTCTCACTAGGAACCCAAGGGACAAATAATAATCATAACAATAGCTTTATCAAAGTTATAGTAAACGGGAATTTACAATGTCACCGAAGCTTATATATATATATATATATATATATATATATATATATATATATATATATATATATATATATATGATAACTTGACAAGTTCTTCTGCATGAATGAACATGCATTGTCACAATTGTAGAATAAAGATGATATCCATCTGTGGTGTATTGTGAGTGAAGAATGTACGCATTACAGATTGAGATTTCTGTGTACACACATGTGTGTTGATAGTTATTATCGCATGTTGGTTACCTCAGTATGTGGGGATGGGGTTGAGACCAAGTGAGAATACGTTCTACTCCCTCATTCCTATTTAGACCATTTAGATTCCACTTTACGCGAAGACATTCTGCTAAAAAACGTTCTTTATAATTTCTAAAGCCTTTATGAATAGAACAGGTTATGAGAAGAAAACAAATGAACACACTTTTATCCGAAAGACCATACACTTTAATGAGATGCGAAGAAAAGATCCACCGAACTGGAAAAAAAATTAAAATCAATACGAATAGACTACTTCAAGAACTAAAATCCGAAGTCGTCCACTTAATTTGGTTTAAGCTTAATTCCTAAGTCAAACATACCTTCAAGATTCTATGGTCTACCTAAGATTTAAAAATCTTTTATTCCACTGAGACCGACTGTAGACTACTTTATCAGCCCACTAACATTAAACCTCTCTATATATCTCGCTTCAATACTTAAATCTCAACAAAAGTACTCAGGATGTACAGTAAAGGACTCACAGGATTTTTAATCCAAAAATTCTTTACTTAAAATTAGGGAAGATGAAATTATGGTTAACTACGACACTAGTTATTTACACACTGGCATACCAATTAATTATAACCTAGACATTATGTCCAATTTATTAGACTCAGATAAGTCATTGACAGAAATATGTCTACTGAATACCAGTGGCATCATCACATTTTAAAAGAAAATTACACAGGGAAGACTAATCGTGTTGTTATGGACTCACTTGTTTCATCCGAAGTAGGTAACCTATTTATGAGTAAATTCAAAGAAAATTTCTTCACTCACTTACTAAAGTCAAAAAAATCCGGCTGAGATATATTAATGACAGTTTGGTAATTTTAAAACGTGACGTTCTTAGATTAGTTAAACTCTACATATTCAAGTATCAAGTTCACCTCAAAAAAAAAGAAACGTATACTGCGGAACTGACATTCCTTGATTATCTTGTTAAGAGGAAAGAAAATGGACATTTAGTTTTAACCATTTTCAGGAAAACAACACATTCGGACAAATATTTAGATTTCAACTCATCATATCCAATTAGTGTGAAAGTTTCTGTTGCCTTCAGTCTCTTAAAAGGAGTATAGAATCTAATTACGGATGAAAATGAAAGAATTAATGAATTAAAACATGTGAACAAGATACTTACAGTGAATAGTTATCCAGTAAAGTTCATTCACAAAATAGAAAATAACATAAAATAAGATCGTAAAACTACTCCTAAATCATGGGTGTCAACAATAGTTATCCCTTACAGATCATACGGGACTTCAAGTGAATGTAGAGAAGACGGAGATGGTGAAGATACCCAACCAACAACAGCATTAACAAGTACCAATCACCATCAACCGGAGAAACCTAAAGGAAGTAGTCTCTTTCACCTACCTAGGCAGCATCGTTTCAACTACACCCAGCACAGGCACAGACGAGGACGTTAAAACGAGGATCGGAAAAACAGAAAGACAGGCCTTCCTGCATTAATCTGAAATCAGTGTGGAGATCTACTGCACTGCACTGCACTCAGCATAAAGCGTGGACAAGATCTGAATTTTCAACACTAAGTCAGTTAAGTCACAGCTTCCATGTAATGGTTCAAAAACTTGGCGCGTTACGCAACGCACTTCCAAAAAACTTTAAGGTACTCATCAACAGCTGCCTACGCTTGCTCGACACTGAAGATCAGATGAGAAGGCGAGAAAGAATAAGCAATAAGGAACTCTGGTCTGCCAAAGAGCCAACAAAAAACCAGTCGCCCACCAATATGCAGAAGGAAGTGGAGATGGATTGGGCATGCTCTAAGAAGGCCAATTGTGGACATCACGCGCCAGGTCCTCGAGTGGGATCCAAACGGGAAACGACGAGTTGGGCGTCCGAGGCGAGGGTGACATGGAGGAGATGATGTGAGGAAGAAATGAAAGTTTGTGGGCAGTCGTGTAGCAAGGTTCAAGAGACTGCAAAAAGCAGAGTGCAAGGAAGTCGTGCTACTGAAGCCCTATGTTCCACTAGGAACTCAAGGAAAAAATAACAATCGTAATAATAATGATACAGATTACACACACTGGATGAAATTAGGAGAGTGCTCAACAAATACAATATCAGAATGTTCTACAGAACACCAAACATACAGCAGAACACCTTAGTTCATTTGAAGGATGAGATGCTTCTAGATTCATTCACAAAGTGTGTTTATAAAATAAAATACTCAGACCACGATGCAATATACATAGGACAAACTTCCCATGAAACCAAAATGAGAAAAAAATGAACACCGAAGTGCTTCCACTCAACCCCCTAGAAATTCAGTAAAAGTGAAAAAACTTTTCATCCATAGCTCTTTCAAGTTGTAATGTCAACTCAATAACAATATGAAAACTATTTAGAAAGGCTTTAGAAATTATAAAGAAAGTCTGTCTCATAGTAGAATCTCTTCACATTAAGTGGAGTCATAATTGTTTAAATAGGAACAAGGGAGTAAAACGTAATTTGACCTGGTCTCAACTCACCCCCACATTCTGACATAACCAACATACATCAAGGCGATAAGAACTATCAACACATATGTACATAGAAGTCTTAATCTGTCATTCACATACAGAACACACTACATATATATATCATCTTTATTCTACAATTCCGACAATAGAGAATCATTTATACAGAAGAACACTTGTCAAGTTATCATATATATATATATATATATATATATATATATATATATATATATATATATATATATATATATATATATATATATATAAGCTTAGGGGATATGATAAATTCCGGTTTACCATAACTTTGATATGCCTATTAGTAGCATTAAGTGGTGAAAGGTTAGTTGAAACATATTTGCTTTGTTTTACATTCTCACTGGGAAATACAAATACTAAAATAATGATTATAGTAGAAATAAGCGCGTACGCCACAAGAAAATAAAGGGTAAATATTTTCAGATTTTTACTCATCCTTTTCAATTCCCCTCATCAATATGACCTGAGGGTGGAAAACAATATAAAGGGATCGTCAAAACTGCTATGATAGACTGCTGGAACGGCACTACTGGGATTTACTCTAATTCATATATGTAAGTGTCCGAACTGTATATAGTAAGGATCTTCCACATCCATTTTGACCTACTAGTAAACTTTTATATTAGGCGAGGTTGTAAAGGTTAAGTAAACAGGAATACCGATAGTAACATAAGGAGAGTTACCGCCGGCAGAGACAAACGCTCTGAACAGTAATGAGCATATTCTGATTTGCCTTTAAACATCCAAAAAGCAATAATAATCATCATGTCTGGTATAGCACAACGGATGACAACAAATACTGACAATGAAGCTGGGATGAATAACAAGCCTCCGAAATTTACAGCATATGACGTAAGCATTTCTGATTACGCTTGCACAGTTATACTTCACACTCTTGGTTGCATTGTGTTCTCTGAGCTGGGCTGTTTAGTCGTGGAGCTTGCATCGTCTTTCTAGACGACATCTTTAGTAGGAAAATCTAAACAGTCAACGACTCAACAATCAAAGGAAACAGCCAATCACAAACCAGTTTGTCAGGGCAAGCTACGGAGAGATATTGATAACTCACTTCATACTGAAGTTAGTGCTGATGATGTCGTCTAGAAAGACGATGAAAGCGTCTCCACAACTAAACAACCCAGCTCAGAGAACACAATACAACTAAGACCATCTACCTGAGCTGCAAATATTTTCCACCATACTTCACACTCTTCACTACAAAGTCTTGCAGTGAGTATACAAAGCCCATACAATAACGTCATAAAGCCATTACTCCAGAAGACGCTTTGTTTCACATTCCGAAAAAAATTACTTCAAGTGAAGTCGTTGAATGCGTCGACAATTTCAGGAGTTGCATCACCTTGAACGCGGTGGTTGATGACGAAATCTAAGCTTGGATACAGAAGACCCGTTTGACATTTGTTAATTTGCGTCGTTTCTCGCGACAACTAGCTATACATCCGACTATCTATCAAAAGATTATACTGTGCTGCAGTTCTTTCTGTCCTGCTTTACAGCTGTGAGATATTGCCATTAAAAGCAGGAGATATGCGGCGGTTACAAGTTTTTTTAATCACAGGTATCTTCATAGCATTTCTCGAGTTTGGTAGAATTACCATGTTAAAAATGTTGAGATCAGGCTACTAGACAGGACAAGCGAGTTGATTGATGAGGTTGTGAACCTTAGTCAACTGAGATGGCTCAGACATATGCTGCATATCTCAAAGTACCATGCTAGAGGAAGTTGGATTCGGTTGGAAGAAGGCTCAAGGTGGCTACATCAAGATGCGGCACCAGTCTATGAAATCTCTGACTGTTGGTTTGAGCTACTTAAGGAGGTGCAGACTGCCTGGTTGCGGTCACCAAGACGATATAAATCAGTGGTTGAGGATTTCTGGTGTTTAGTTCGACGTCACTCTTGCCTATCTACCAGTTCTTTATATGCTACTATGGAGTGTGGCAGCTTGAACCGAAGTACTTGTGTGCCAGGCTCTACGTTGATTTCATCTGTCTTATTTCATATATCACTTACATTGCTTAAAAGACGAATTTCAAGTTCAGTGGGACAGGCAGATATATGTAAGAGATTGTGCAATCGAATGATTATCGTGTTAAATTTCAGTGGAAGTCGTCCCCTAATTCTCTCTGCTAAATGAGTGTAAACGTTAAACCTCGCTAAACCATATATGTACATATAAATGTCATGTACAAAAAATACAACTTGCAACACAATCAAGCAGTCACTAACCACATGGAGTAAAGCAGAGGCTTGTTACTCCCATACTATGCCAATGAAGTACAGATCGTTTAACATGAGAAGGATGCACAGGATAGTAGGTGACTAGACGACCTTCTTTACAAATCTTCTTGACAGCTATTTTCATATCATCAAAGCTATCACTTTCTGGAAAAGCTTCATTTTCATTCCAGTTGTCAGATATAGGATCTAGCATTTCTAAATAATCATCCATTTGAGTACACAAATTCCACCAAATGAATATTTCACCAACGGCGTTCCCCGTAGCAATGATACAGTCGTTGGGATGAGCAGCAATGCATGTATACTTCTTCTTTTCTGTACACTTTTCAGCAGCTGGAACTGAATATCTAAGGAACGAAATTTAATTTTGATACACACACAGAAGAGCAAAATAAAAATAATTATGCAAATTAGCGGTAAAAAGAGATGATATTATGAACTTATTGAAGATCAGTTGGTTTGATATATTAATGATCAACTTTTTACAGTTGACAACTGTCTTGACTACCGCGCCACAGCTACAGAAAAGCCACGAGTACAGCTTACTACCTAACGAACAGATACAACGGCATGAACTAGGAGGTATACGATCACATGAAACTCTTTTAGTCATGAACTAATTACCTTATGGTCACCAACAAGAACTACGACAAGGGCTACAAGTTAAACAAATCAAACTTTACTGATACGATTGGGAAACTTAATGCCATAACACATCCCAGTAGAGTCCCATCAGGTAGCTGGATAAATCTGAAGGGCAGATTAAAGGTTCAGTCTGGGTCATGAATAGTTTAAGAAGGATTGAGTTATGTTGTCATCTTAGAGTTGTTATTAAGATACGAGAACACAAAAAGCCTAGCAGCCAATGTAGGACTCATATGAAATCATCAACCAACCAGTGATTTAGTTTGCACACAGAAGTGATGTAAACGATTTAAGAAATCCTGTGTATCGATTCAGATAACGACACTCAGGACCAAAAGAACACAGCGAAATAGACAAAGTAAGCAAGAAGATGACTAAAACAACGTGGCTACGAACGAATAATTTGAAAAGTGCAGGACAGGGTTCGAAGTCATGACCCACTGGTTGAACGTCAACTACCTGACCCAATGAACTACAGCTTCTGCTGGATTGATACAACTAATATCAACAGTGCGAGTACAGAAAATTTCTTTTGACTTGTTTCAATAACACACACATCTTAACACCATTCTTGTCAGTCTTTCTGATGGTAAACATGCTCAAAAATAGAAAAGGAATGTTTATTTTTGGGAGCACTACGAGGTTAGTAGCCTTCGCCCATGTTCATAGAAAGCTAGATAACGACAACCAAGAGGCTATTACTTTCGGTGCCCAACACTGACTACAAGCAGCTTTATGAGCACGAATTCCTTTCTTGGATGTCTAGACAATATTGAACGAAGTATATGACGATATACTGAATGTTTTAATCTAAATAAACGATGGTCAAATGCAAGGAGTAACTGGCATATAAATGATTTCAGAAGACCCATAAATTGATAGTTTATTGGTCAATGATCTGATCTTAGGGTATATAACTGCAAATTATTGAAAAAAGGATTACCTTACAGAAACATTGAAGTTTATCCAATATATAATGACCTCTGATTCATGAAAGCATGCAACAAAATCAGAATCCTGAAAAAAAATAAGGCACGAAACACGGGTACTTTATATGTTAATACAGATCCTTGAGGAAATTCTACAATTTCTGTGAAGTTTCCAGAAGCACGATCATATGACTTTACAGCGTCTACAAACAAACATCAAATAAGTAGACAGTTACGTTTATCTTTGTATGGATGGCTTACAACATAGCCATCTGCAGTCGGGAAACAGATTTCTATTGGAAACCTTGTCTCTAATACCTTGAAAACCCTGCAAAAAGATAAGATCCACTTACCTGGACTGTTTCACATGTTTTTACATCCCAGACTATAACTTTCCCATCTAATCCGCTTGAAATCACCTAAGATACTTGTCACTAAATATTCAGCATACATAGTGAGGCCTATGAACATCAGGTGCAAGCCCAACCACTGAATCCTTATGTCCATTCAATAACCGGGATACTCCCGTACGTCCATCAAGAACAACAATCGACTTATCGGAAGAGTAAACAATAAACCTAGGGGGAAATATTTGAGTAACACTTGTTACTTTTCACTCTTCAGATACAACGGATTGGAATTAATAATGTTAGCTGAAAGTCTGGTACTTCTAATCATGCCGAAGATCAGAACCAGGCGCCGGAGTCGATGACCTCTGAATACACACGTTTCTGAGCATTTAAACAGTGTGAAATGGCCACAATTTGTCAAGAAGGCAAACAAGTGTAATCTATTGTGGTTTTCCACTTTTTCACAGGTCCAATGGCTTGTCACATCCACAAACCTGAGTGCTTTCGCATGTTTCTGGTAACTTTCGAGAAACAGTATTCGCACTGCGATCAACATCCAATGTCAATGGTACGAGTAGAGGAAACTAGTAGTTTTTGAACTCTCGCTCCAGGGTCTGAGACTCAGTTCTTTTTGTTCGGTTGTACTCCTTCGATGCTAGCAGAAGTCTTTGTGTCTTCCTGCTTATAGCTTTGGAGGTAGTTATTGTCTACTTGAAGGTGTTTTATTTGCGAATTGTAGCTTGGTTTGTTTTGGGGGGGGGGGGCAGCGGAGCTGGTGGTAAGATCAATCAACCGTTTGAAATTCCTGCTGTTGTAGGCACCTGCAGGCAAGTGTCAAGCGCTATTTAAAAAGTGAGTGGGGAATGAGAAAATGGGGAGTGAAAAGTACTTATTAAAAGATAAAGGTAGCTGGTAATAATATGGATGAGAGATGTGTCCCATTGCAGGTACTAGGGTTGAGAACTACATGGGTGGAAGGGTGTATCATCAGTTGCCAGTGACGAGTGCTCGTGGCGAGCCATTTGCCTCCACATACTTATCCAGCAGTTGTTTGAAGTTGACCGATGTAGCTGTGGCCGCTTCCTTCGGCAGAGAGTTCTATGAGGCACATACTGTGTGATAGTAGAAGTTATATCTCACTCTCGACTTTGCTCTGTGGTGGAGTTCCCATGGGACTTTCGGTTTTGGACCGACAACAGCGTCCTGTTTGGGTGGTACACTTGGTGAATGATCCTGTAGACTGTTGTCAGGTCACCTCATTTCCTTCGATAGCTCAGTGTGAACAAATTGAGTTGTCTGAGGCGTTACGCATACGTTTTGTCTGTTAGTCCGACAGCCGACTTGTTAATCTTCTCCGCGCCGTCTTGAGGGTATTCGCATCTGTCCTTAGTACTGAGGGGATTCGTGCTGAACTCCTCTAGGTGCAGTCCAACATACGTTTTAAATACCACAAGGAACAATTCTGGAGTTAATTATCCAGGCTACCGTCTTAGGTGTATTGTGGCGTCAGCCTTTGCTGTCATTCCCTTATAAACGCCAGTAATATCCAGTGTGTCAGAAAAACTTAGTTCTGAGTCCTCTGTGGGCACCTTGGCGATTGCACACATGCTAAGAGTGTAGACGATTTTCATTCCCTCTGGTGTTAGGAGATACAGCGCCTTGCGTTTCTCCAGGTTAAAGCCTGAACCGTTCGCAGCTGGCCAGGACCCAGGATGCAACAGGTCGCTTTGGAGTGTCCTAGGTTCCTCCTCCTCACCTGTCCTCCTCCATGTTTTGATGTTGTTGGCGAATTGGAGAACAGATGGGGAGATTTTAATGGGAAGGTCGTGGATAGTAAAATTTGGAGTGGCCCAGGGATTGCTCTTTGAGGAACTCCTGTTCTTTCATCCCTCCAAGCTGATCGAACTCTGTTTACTTTGGTACAGAATCTTCTCTCCCGCAGACATGCTGTAAACCATGCCATGAGTGGTTCAGTGATTCTTACTTCCGTAGGTTTAGCTGACATGGTGCATTGTGAACCGCTTTCAAGGGCCTTGGCCAAGTGCAGAAAGACAACTTAAACTGGCCGCTTGTTGTCCCATCTAGTGGTCCCGTCATCCCAAGCGGCATCAGGTCTGTAACACATGATTGTCTGGTTCTGAGGCCATGTTGGGTGGGACGAACGATGTCGTTTCCGTTCAGGTAGTCCCAAACATCATCTGTAGCCAGGCATTCCAGTACCTTGGAAAGTATAGGAGTAACGCCATTAATCTGTAGTTGCGCGTGTTTTTCTGTCTCCCCTCTTGAAGATTGGTGAAACGGTGGCGTGTTTCCATTCCTTACAGAATTGAATTACTTCCAGCGAGTGCGTGGACGGGTTGCCTGTGGGTATGCTTAACACTTTGGCACAGTCGTGTAGGGCCACCAGTCTTATGTCACCACAGCCCGGGGATTTCCCAATTCTCGGTGCTAAAAGTTTCGCAAACACTTGGTTTGACGAAATCTTTTTTTTCATCAGCTCTGTGTCACAGTCCTAGGACTTCGTCACATTGCTGGATGTCGATGTTTGATGTATTGGTGGGTTGAGTTACCCGTCAAATCGACTGCCCAACAGTTCCGCTATCTCACTGCTGTTCAAAGGTTCTCCGACCGGCCCTATGATCATGCCTAAACCCTTGTTCGTCGGTTTGCGTCGTGACATAAACCGATACAAGCTTTTCGATTGTAGCCTAATCGTTTAGCCAGGTTGCCCTGGTGTGCATATCTGTCATTACGAATTCTTATATTACATAAGTTGCGTAACGTCTTGTAGCCGGGACAGTCCGATTCTCTGCTTGACATACGCCACCGATACCATGCCCTCTTCTTTCTCTGTATTTGCCCTTCGGTAGCGCGAGTTATCCGGGACCGTTTGAGAAGGGGCCATCTGGTTAATTTTGGGACAGTCTTGTCAATAGCGCTCCAGATAATACATCGGGTATGTGTTCGTCTATCGATAGTAAGTGACATCCTTGCGGCCAGGCAGCCTCCACGAGTTCGTCGTTCATGAGATGGTAGTCTACTTTACGGTGACAGTGAAACGCTTCTATCCTAACCATCGATAGCGTCTCCATGGTTATCACAGGGAATCCCAGCAAGGCGTAGACGCTTTAACCTAGGGGGCTGAACACAGATACCGTCCACCAAAAAATCATCGTCTGTTAGAATGTAGTCGAGTGGTGATTCCTTTTCCATATGGTCCCCATCTGACGTTTTCTCCAACCTTCTGCATCAGTCCTGCTGCCACGAACGTATCTCGAAGTTTGTGTTCGAAAGATTTATGCCCATATCTTACTTCACATCCCAGGTTGGATGCCGGAATGCTAAGGTCCCCAGCAAGGACTACGTGGTCATAGGCTGCAGGGGTTCTTGTTGCAATAGCACCCAGCGGTTTCGCCTTATGCCCTGTCGTGCAAGGGGGGCCTATACACCACTCGTAATAGGTACTTGGTTTGCTTTATGGTGAAATGACGCCATAAGGAGTCTGGCGATAAACGGAACATGCCGTCAGTCGCTTCCTTGACTTTTGGATGGGTGCGAAAATACATGGCGACTCCTCCGCCTTCTTCGAACCGCCTGTCCGTTTAGAGCAGAGGCATTTTAGGCAAGGATATTTCGTCAGCCACGATGCCTGATGACAGCCATGTCTCCATGGTGAGAATTATATCCGCTTGCAGATTATCGCACATTGATTTTAGCCCCAGTAGTTTACTCCTAAGACTTCTTACACTGCTGCAGAAGCATGTTAAGGAGCCACGTTCTGGGCTTGGTGCGATATGGAGGCTTGCATAGAGGCCGGTGTGCCGCTGCAGTGGACTGTGACTGCCAGTCCCCACTGGACTGTCAGGCCTCCGTTTTGAATCCCTCTCGGCATCCTGCTGCTGGTGTGGCGGTTTTATTTATTGCCTCTGCAGGAAGTTCACTAGTTGGTTCTTTTGTGACTAGCACTGCTTGCAGTGTTCTCGGAGGTTGCCTCCTATCTTCTAGCCTAGCAGCCCGTAGTTTACTCTCACAGCATCGTACAGCACCTCCTATGTAGTTTTTCCTACGGTACCATGCCATGAGAGCTTTTGTTAGTGACGGTTTGCAGTCACAGAGTACAGATAGCAATCTTGGCGAGGAAATGCTCTGCAAGTGCGTGGGTCTTGGTCATCTACCTACGCTGCTGGTGGGCAAATTTCCAAGTCCCATCTCTACCGCCAACCACCGCTACTGCTCGACATCATGGAAGTAATTATCGCACTTTTCAGATCCACTCGCCAGTTTGGGCATTTCATGCACCACCAAGGGTGCAGCTCTGTGCGGATTACTAAGTGGGGACTTTCTCTCCACCTCTGTGGCGATCCGAGGTTTGTCTAGCTTCACCCTATGGGGAAGGGGCCTGCATTGTCTGGTCGGCGCAATAGCCACAGTATTCTTCTCTCCGCTGTCACTGCTGATATCCTGAGAGGCGGCGGCTTGTCTTGAGGTGCCCTACTTCCTCAGAAGCGCCAGCATAAGTTGTCTGCGATAGTTTCCATTTACAACTTTCTGCGGTAGTCGTCCCACTTCTCCCTACCAGACTGCTCTCTTTTTTCCAAGAGTGAGCCCCTTGGTATAAGGGTGTCAAAAAGAGTGATGGAATCCGTCTTTTTGTCTTGCAAACGCGGAATATTAGGCTTCGTAGCTAATGCCTTCGGCCTACCCTTCACCCCATTCACCCCCGTCCGTCTGTCCTCAGCGCAACCTGTTTCCCCAGGTCGTTCGTTCCGTCGGACCGTCTGGTTTGTAGCGATATAAGCGAGGACTTTTTTAGTGCCCCACTTGAAGTGGGAGTTTATTACTTCCTACCTCTAGAGGTGGAAAGTTTGCGCGCTGGAGCCTGCCCAGTATCTGAGGGAAGATTATTGGAGTTCCTGCTATTTAACATCTTTGACTATACCACGTTTTCCAGTTTGCCGGTGGTGATTGCGGGCGAGTTCCGATACTCTGGCCATATATACCACGTCCATTTAAGCGGGCGCTTCCTCACAAAGCTGTAGTACCGCTCTGGTAAACCATTATCACAGTTATAGTGTACCCATCAAAGACAGATGTTTCACACCAAGGCTTTATGAGCCTCTGACACCGATTCTTTGCAAACCCCATAGTTATTAGACGTTGACTCTTTGTTGACAACTAAGTAGTTTGCGTTCCGTTAGGTGACGTCAAATGCAGCGCGTTTCTCCCATGGTTCATTTTTCACCAACGGCATGACTTAGTACATGCTATAGTCACCTTGACTGCAGGAATTTGCCTGTTTTGGCAACTTCTGTGCCTGGTGTGACGGTGCTAAGGGTATCTTAGACTATGGGTGTGTTGATGTGCCCATCTTTTCTGCACAGAC